TGTTTCGGCGCACTCGCGATTCGCTAAAGTAATATTCTACGATTCGGCCACAATAGTTCTTCTGCGTGATTCTGCGGATGCATTAACGGGGAAAACGCGTGTGCCTCGACTATTAGCCGCATGTTAACGAATGGGAAATAAGTGAAGCGAAACTTAGTATTGTATATGGACTGCTAAGCTGCTCCATCTCATTCAACGGACTCCTTCAATACAGCAGTTTCAAGCACTGATGCGGCTCCATGGTGCAAAACGTGCTCCCACGCACACGGCCTGTGTTTGACTCTCAACGAGTTGAAATTTTTATTCCTTAATACTGTGAATATATATGTCGAGAACAGGGCTTTTTTACTCTAAAACTAATGACCATGACGTCTACTTCAGAATTTCTACAAATCAAGCTCTTTAACTCTGTCGTGCTAAAATATTGGAAGGATGAAACTGAGCATCTTTATTAGTAATTGACTTAACGCGAATACTCACACACACATTCGTAGACTGTTTTAGGTCGACCTCCTAGACTATGCTAGTTCTAGTTTTTTTTTTATATTCGCGAGGTAGAAAACAGCCACCTCATTGGAGCATGGGAAACATTCATATTTACTGGAATGATCCACAAGCTTGCCTGAGATCTTCTTGAAGCTTTTTGTTTTTCTTCGTGGCTTTAGGCTGATGCAAAATCATAAATGACGCAGTCATGCAATAATTTGAGTTGCGCATACTAACACTTTTACTACTTTTCTTGAACAATTTGGCAGATTTCACCATGTGGAAAAAAGGTGAAAATAGTTCAATTTTCAAAACGTCACGAACTGAAGTTAATGTTACGTAGAAGATATGTACAATGTTGTACGCACACAGATATGTTGAAGTGTGAAACGTGGTGTTAGCTACAGCAGAAGCGATAAGCTGTTATTTAGTGCTTGTGCTTGCGAATATGGTTATCCTGCACACTCCTACATAAATAACCTAATTATGTGACCTTTCATTTTATTCAGTGTTTATTTTCAAGACTTCCGAGTTGTAAGATCGTATAGTTATTATTTAAGTGTACAAAGAAAGCGATAGTTGACATTATTTTATGACCTGCTTACGCATGCAATCTTGGTGAAACCTTCCAATTATTTCGTTGGGGAAAGCCTTCCGTCGTACAATTTCGCAGCCAGTACAATGCACAGATGTTCGATGGTTTTTTATTTCGATTTTTACGTCTACAATGAATGCACAAAGAATAAATGACTTTATCGCTTTGAATACGTACCGTATCAGGTGCAGTGAACGTTCGAGATTCAAGGAGCATTTCCTCGTGATCCTATAACATGAAGTGTACTTTTGTGGCTTGTTTGACTACTTCAGTATGCCGTCTTTCTCGTGTAATAGGATTAGGAAGCAGTTCGTCCACACTCATATGCCATCATAGAATTCTCGAAGACCACATCTCTTTCTGAAGTTATTGTGAACAGTCCAAGTGCATTCCTTATATGTTCCTCGATACACTCAGAACTATATATGTCAGCCATGGTAACCTGTAAATATGCCGTCAATAAATGTATTTGTCCAAATCTTTCTATAACTCCAATTCGGAGAATCCGGTGAAAGCTGCCGGACTTTAAATAAAATTGTTAATTCATTCCAGTCTTTTATTTTTGTGAAATTGCTTAGAGTTGGTCTAAGCTTTGAACGGAAATAAATAAATGAATGTGGCAAACTGATTAATATGGCTGATGTGCTCTGCCGTGAATGTTGTATAATATATGGGTGATATGCTAAGCCATAAATGTTTTCAGAATCATCATCACTATCAACCTGACTACGTTCACTGCAGCACAAAGGCCTTTCCCTTGTTCCGCCCGTCAACTCGGTCTTGTGCTTGCTGCTGCCATTTTATACCCACGAACTTCTTAGTATCATCTGCCCACCTAACCTTCTGTCTCAACCTAACTACCTTGCCTTCTCTAGGAATCCAGTTTGTTACCCTTAATGACCAGCGGTTATCTTTTCTACGTGCTACATGCCCGGCCCATGTCCATTTCCTCTTCTTGATTTCAACTATGATGTCCTTAACCCCTGTTTTTTTCCCTAATCCACCCTGCTCCCTTCTTGTCTCTTAAGGTTACACCTGCCATTTTCCTGTCCATCGCTCGCTGCGTCGTCCTGATATTAAGCTGAACCCTCTTTGTAAGTCCCCAGGTTTCTGCTCAGTAGCTAAATACCGGCAAGATGCAGCTGTTAGATACCTTCTTCCTGAGGGTTGGTCAGAATGTATTCAGTCAAAAATTATTCTATTAATGTTGACGTGCTTATAATTGTATAAAATGTGGTGTGTCGCCCACCTGAACAGTATTATCTTTGACATCGCCAGTGCCGACGTATCTGCTGAAACGAAAACTCAGCTGCAATTTTGTACTAGGAGCCGAAATGACCAACGTATGAACAGGCCTTCGTCTGCCAGAAGAAAATATATGACCTGCATGCTTAATGAAGACCAGAAAAGACATTCACTAGGAACAACTAGCTCTATTATTGCTTTTTACGGAATTCAGAAAAGTTCGCCCAAAGACACGGCTCATCTCTCCGCCAAGGAATCAAAATAACAAATGTTAAACATGCTTTCACAAAAGTACTCATGTCTGTTGATACGCAAGAGCTTGGGCAGTGTATAATTTTTTTTTCGGCAGGTACATCACTGTTTGACCGTGACGCAACCACGTTGGGGCACAGTGACACATTTTCGATGCGACGACAAACTGTCTTGACCCTCACATAAATGGTTCGGTAGCAGAAGTTGTAAAAATGTACATGGACACATCGTATCCTAAATTTTGCGCAAATATTGCCTCAACAAGCTCATAAAAGAAGGCTGGTATACTTGATAAGTACTTTTTAAAAGTGTTATTAATTAGGTAAAGAAACAGTGCGGTGTGTGCTCTCGAGAATTTGGGAAAGCTACGCTTGGCTCAACGCACACTGCAGCACGGCGCTTTATAAACATGAGAGGCAGAGGTCTGTAGCTTGTGCTACGAAGGCGCGCAGGCGTTCCACATCCCACTTGCCCCTGTCTCGCTCCACCAAAGCACGATTGCCCGTTGACATCGCCACCTTTCAAAAGCGCTTATGCAGCAGCTTTATGAGTCGGTGATATCGCACTTGAAACAATCGCTGGCGACAAGACACCGCTGGTGCATGCGAAAGCTACACAAAAGGCGTAGAACGAAACTATCTACCATGTCTCTGATATTCCAGCACTGGGAGTGTTTATGCTGGTAGCGTAACCTTTTAGCGATCACCTCCCAGAAGGCGAATCTTGAAGGTGATGTTTAGACTGCTTCATTCCGAGTACTTCTCTGTAAGCGTTACTGTCATGTTATAAAACTTTCCTTGACCGCTTAAACACCGCGGTAGAGCCCCTCCAACACAGAGCAGCGTCCAATAAAGAATGTGTGAAAAATACAAAGCTCGTTTTTTAGATGCATGCAGGCGCCTCGGTGCCCCATGCGCTAGTCGTCATGTATCTAGCGAACATATGTTCGCTCCCGAAATGAAATATTTTCTGTACGCTTTTTCTTTGTCGTCTAGCGCCAGTGTTGTCAACGACATATCTCTTAGCAAAAACATGTTGCTCACATCTTGGTGGAATCTGGCACAAAACACTGTCGTGTTCAGAACAATAACGAAGCAGGCATATATGCATCCAATGTGAATGCTCTGACGATGTTATACAGAATAACCACATCTGTCCCACTATTAAAAAAAAGAAGGTGCTTGGTCCTGGGAAGAGCATGACAGAGGCGTTTCGCAATGCAGACAGTGTGCGTGGGCCGGTTAGATGCCATGGTGTGCAGGCACTCGTCACATTCTTACACGCACTGTACCTGCTAGTAACTCTATTACTGACACTCATTCCTTTGAGCCAGTGAAATGACCAGCATCGCCTCACGTCTATGCGGGATTTTGTTGCTGCAGTCTATTTTACACTGTTCGAGGCTATTGGTGACAGACCGGGGAATCAACAGTGTGATGGTTTTCTGACCCACAATGAACAGCACATTGTCTGCCATCAAGAACTGGTGGTGTGCTGATCCTCTCTAGCGCCGACGTTTCACAAATGTTTCCACGGACGTCTCATCAGGTGAATCAACAACGCAACGGTGCCAGAGCGTGTTTAAAAGCGCAGCTGACAAGCGCCCTTTCTTGCGTTAAGTGGCATCACCTTTGCCGTTGCCGTAAGTGCTGTAACCACGTGAATGAGTTCGTGCCACAGGAATGACGAAAGCGAAGTCGGTGCACAGGAGCCCCATTAAGTTGTATACAATACCGCTTTTGTTGTGGCGCTTGTAGATACCACAACACAGCAGTGGTAGTGGTTATCTACATGCTTACGGGTATGTAAGCATGTAGATGGCTACAGTAGCCATCAAAATATGTGGTACCTGCGATAAGGTTGTGAGCTGCAAAACTTAGACAACAGCTTACTACCAATAAGCTGTTGTACTTCTGTGGACTTCTCGCCCACCGCGATTCCCAAGTACGTCGAGCACTTTATGCGCCGGGCATTTACCGCACATCGACCCACACCAATGTGTGTAATAGGTGACATTATTATAGACATGAAATGAAACAAGACCTTTCTATCACTTATGCTCGAGAAATAATCATTATTTGCCAGCGTAATTAACCCTATTGATGGGGCGATCTTGGAAAACACCGCATAAACATCGTCTTTAAGAAACAGGAATCGGTGCAGCAGGCAGAACATATCTATAATTACTTCTCTGATCACACAGTTTCCTTCATTACAATAAGAGATTAACTGACGTGGGCTCAACAGAGAAAGTGTTTTTGCAAATAAATAGTTATACTGAACAGTACATACATGTATCTCCCAAACCGTATAGTCCCAAAAAGTCGCAATTTCTTTATCGCATAATCAAACCACCCAAATGGCTGAGCTCAAAATTGCATTAGGCCGTATAGTAATCATTATTTATTTTTCATTCTTTATTTCACACTGTCGGCTGATCTTTGCTTCCAGAACTGAAGTCGGCCAACTTCTCCCCAATCTTGCGCCTGCATAGCTCCTTTGGCAAACATTTGCCTCTGCAGCAATATCCCGACATGCGACGAGGATTCAAAGTCTGAAAAGGGCGCACGGTTGTTAGTGCATCAGCAAAAGTGCTGAACCAATGCCATTTTCCCACGTCTCCTTGAATACTAGATGAACACTATTTTCCTGAGTTTCCCTTTTACTTTACCAATTGGCGCACTGTCTTCAATGCAACGAGTAAGGGAACGAAATATGTCTTATGAAAATGTAAATAAGGAAGAGCAACGAAAGAAGACAGATGATGCAACAGTCGTTCAGAGACCGAGTCAGCCACTCACAGCCTTAATTATCGTCTCAAAAAACTATATTATTGATTAATGATGGTGTGAATTTTTGTCTGCCTTTACATTTCGCTTCACGTGGCTAGAGTTGGGTATACTAGAAGAAGGCTCTGTATTTGCAGCCTGGATAATTTTTCCAGGGCGGGAAACCCAACGCTAACCCCTGTCCCTCGTGCCGCTTTCTCAAAACTTTGTGAAATGTGATGATTGTATAAAATGACAGCTACTTTATCGTTCTTGTTAATATCATCAATGCTCTGTTGACAACATTGTGGTTGCAGCGCTTGCTATTTTATTATATAACAAAGCAATAAATGTTGCACATATTGTATCCAATTCAGGGTCATGTAGTGTTAACGTCAATTGTGATGTCAGAGTGGGCATCGCTTTTGCAGCAGTCTAATAAAAACTACATTTGTATTTGACGCTGTAGCAATTAAGGTGGATTGAGGCACTTATCGGTGCCAGCGGAATTCGCCAATGAAAGTAACGTGGCATATACGCATAGCCACGCAACAGTGTGCCCCTCATTCTTACAATACCGACATCTTTCCTCTGACGCGAGCGCTGACGTTACATAAAACAACTTCTCTTCAAGAGCCAGTGCATTCGGCGTTTCGGGTAACCTACGATGTGCACACAGCTAGTACACTCACAGAACATGTCAGTCCTTTGCGTCATGGTCTGCTCAAAGCCAAATTATGCGGCATGTACTCCTCCCCATGAAAAGCGCCGCCAACATCCCATAAAACCAATCTCCACAAATTGTGGTATCTCTTAATTTTTTTTCTTGTTTTCGGTTGCGCCACAAGTATTTTCTTGAACTCTGCGACAACTCGCCTAACATTATACTAGAATATTACTAATAGGGCTTACAAGGGTATGAAAGGAGTAGTAAGTGTCCCTCAATCATACGTCCGCACCCATTGACAGCACATTTACCTATATCTTTACCGAATACAACAGCAGAAGATAAAATGCAGCATAGAAAACGTACACATGTACAACCCATAAAATACTGGAGCAGCTCAAACACAGTTAGTATTCTTTGCATTGATTATTTATATACCCGTGTTGAAATTTGCGCTAGTCACTTTCTGTGGGACGCATCAGGATAACATGCATTATTGAAACATAACTGGCACCTCACTGCTTTCTGTGTGTCAGTTATTGTAACGTGAGGTAGAAATGTTTCACTGTAAATATGTAAGCAATAGTACAATCATTTTATGGCTGTAACACTGAACAAAAAGAGTTTCAAGAAAGTGTGAATTTACAAGTGTCTCGTTTGTTACACCCAAGAAACTGCCTAATTGTTTCAATTTTTATCTTATCATGAGAAACCCTCTGAAATTGATTTTGTCATCAATGCAGAAATGTATTCGATCGTGCAAAACTTTTTTAGAAAACATCAATCTTGAAGAATAGTTTTAAAGCAATAAACAACCTACATTACCTGACAAGCACTGTTGTAGCTGTTTTTGTAAAAACCATAAAACCATTCACCGCCTCGTTGGCAAAAGTAGTGACAATCTTTAAGCATATTCCTCTGCAACAGTACAAAAGAAATGGAAAATATGTATTGGTTGAGAACAAACACCCAAATATAATCACCTGCAGTATAGAGGTGTGTCCTTAAAAGCTATATATTTAACCTGTCATGTGGAGGCTGACATGTCCTGTCCTCACTTTTTTCTTCAAATTGTGTACTTCCATCACTCCCTTGATATTCAAACATTCTGGGCTACTGCTCCTTTATCATGCTACAGATGTAAAACATTCCTTCTAAATATAATTCTAAATGCAAGTACTTGTCCAATTATCCAAAATTTGGTATAGTAGAGCGCAAGACAAATAGGCAGCAATTGTTTTGTAAAACAGTGTGTAATACTTCTGTTACTACGACGGTAAAAAGCACTAATTAGAAGACGTCATATGTGTACTTCTAGCGATATGTACCATCGTCATTCTACTGGAAGGGAACGCACATGCTGTTTTGCAGTCGATGTTTTTTCAAGAAAGTCAGGCATTCGCCAGTTGAAAAGCTATGGCGTTTGAAAGTTACGCAAGATTTGTCCGGAAGTAGCACAATAAAAACCAGAAAGCCAGCGAGTGTAAAGGCCAATCAACGTAATGCGGTAGCAAATTAATGTGTAGAAAAAGTAAATGGGTCGTATTTTCGTACCTTGCATTCGCACTCAGCTGGAATGTCTTTCTTTGTATTCTTATTATCAGGACTACAATTGACAACAGTTTACTGGAGTTTGATGCAAGCATGATAAAATATCAGGAGTGGTGAAGAAAAAAAAAATATTTCCGTGGAGCCCACATAGACGTTACGTCGTCAGATATAAGGCTTAACTTACATGGACTCTATTGAACCAATCAAAAATTGGCGCCACAATGAAGTGTGCTGTGGTGTCCAAGTCGAGATAGAGGTGTGAAAACCACTATCTCTGAAGCCTAGAAGGGAATAAGGAGGGGCCTCAGAAGGTCGCCGAACGCAAAAGGTTTCATTCACACTTTAGATTGATCTTTCCTGACATCGATAACCAACAGCTAGACAGTCCTCGTTGAGGCAGTTTGCTACACCTAGTGTCTATTTGTGTTATCAGAATGGCTCTTGCATAAATTGCAGAGTAGTAGCGATAGTTGTGTTCAGCTTTGGCATTACGGATAAATTTCGAAGATGTAGGTGTATCCTATTACCCTGCACTAAATCAAGAAAGTTAACAGAAACATAACTATCTCCTCTTTTCAGCAGTCTGAGCTGTCACCACGTATTTACTCGATCATAATCACAACTGCTGCAACCACGCAGGAATGAGGGACTCAATAAATATATATACTGTTTACTTCTCACGATATGCATCATCAGTGCCTCAGATCTGTAATACGTTTTCATGTGCAATTTTTTACGGAGGTATGTATTTGGTTACTATATAGTTCTAATTTACAGGTGTGAATTGAACGTTGTTTTTTTAGGCTAAGGCTTGTTGCGATATGCCTCCACGTTACTTGTGAAGTTCGAAATGTATATTCTACGAACATGGCTGCTGAGATGATGACATGAGCCAGCCTCTTGGCCGCACAAGGACACATGCGATAGATTGCCTCGGGTGTGAGGCCTGACGTCGGTGGCTTGCATTGCATAGCGGAAACATTCTACCTGTGTTTTGCCTGGTTTGTGAATTTGAACAATAGGAGCAGCTGCGTAGCATGAGCCGCAACTGCGAACTTTCATCTTTGGTCATAAGGCAGCAATCGCCAGCGCTGGCGCGATTACTATCGCTGCAGACATCAGCATGCAGCTTGTATAGGCTTGTGTGTGTGGTGGTGTCATCAACTCTGTTGCGTTCAGACGATCGACAGCATGAAAACCAGTCTACTCCCTGGAGCTGCTGGATTCCCCCAGAGAAGCGTTTTTTTAATTGCGTGATGTTGGATTTCAAGGAGTTTACTACTAGCCTTTCTTCAAATAACAATTCAGGTCCTTGCTATCTACCTCATTGCTTCACCTTCGATGAAAGTGCATTTTTTTAGAATGTAGTCTATCGATAGCACCGTCGCTCTATTACAGCAAAAGCTGTATATGGCTATTCGAAGCGAAGAACAGTTGGCCGCAAAAAATAATAAACGCTTCCATCACCTGCTCCATCAATGACGTCGTTCTCTACGTTGCACACTAGCACATGTAGCTTTAGGAGCACAGTTAGTGACCTCGTTCATCCCTTCGCAGCCATGACACCGCGCCCGCACGCAGCAGCTTCAATGGGGTGGCTTTGAAAAAGAGAAAAATTAAGAAAAAAGTACAGTGGCGCAACTGCATATTTCGTAGAGGTCACCCCAGCAGCACTGCAATGGAGTAGGCAGTGGTTGTTTAAGTAATGTTGGAAAAAAATTGGAGACCTTTAAGCTTCGCCTTTAAGATTTAAACGTGATAGCGAAATCCCGCCCCGCGTGCGCTCTTCAACAGCTAAGTGCATACTTCCGCATACTCCCTCGTCGTCGAGCACCAGTTGACACAGATGCTGCATGAAGTGTTGCAGATAAGGCACGGGGGGTAGCATTCCCATTTGCTCGTGCTTGAACGTTAGCATCATTCTGGCTAGTTAGTTGTGGGAGACTACTTCACATGATTGTCCCGCAGGCACTCATTGGTGAGCAAGACTGTGCAGTGTGGCCACTTCCCTCTGTTTGAACAGCGGTCTGCTGTAGTCAAGACACGTTTTACACAATGTCTCACAGATGGCACACAAACACACAAACGCGGGCGCGCGAATGGTACATACAGGTTTTTGATCTAAAGCAAGAGTCGCACGGCCTCCAAGATACACGCCGCGCACTCGCCATTTTGGAGAACATAAAGAGTCTCACAATGCATCACAGATGGCATGCCTCTGAAAAGGCATGATATGGTTTCCGCTCGATAGACATAGTCGTCCATTTTTAGAGCGATTCGAAAGTTCCTGTGTGTTTTTAGTGGTCATGAGTGCACTATCCCGGCCTTTTTTAACGTAGTTTGATGGCCGCGCAAATGCGCCTACAAATCACCGAATGAGCTCGTTTTCGTCGTGACACCTGTGGAACAAGATGCGTAAAGGATACTCCCTCTACCACGTGGCATTTAAATAGTGTTTTTTTTTTCGAAGCAGCTGCAAGTAATAGTAGGGCCTTGTGGTAGGACAGCTGCTGGCCACGCAAACGACCCGTGTTCAATCCTCAATTGGAACGAAAATTTCGTTTTTTTTATTTGCTTTTTTCTCGATTTTTCCATCGCGGATGATTTTTCGCTCACAACCAACGCTGCCAACACCGACGGTGGAATTATTGTGACACGAGCTCTCAAACGCTATCGCGTTAAAAAGATGAAAGAGAGAATGGGGAAATAGGCACGATCGGCTACTCCCGAATAACCCATTAGCGACTGGTGATGCTCAGAGATACCTGCCTTCAGTGTGTTGTTGTTTTCAGTGGCAAAACGGTGCGAATAGCCCGGAGAGCGCAGAGAGCATTCACTAAAGGTCATCTTTCCGTGCGTGGCGATGTGCACGCGCCTCAACCGCCCGTCGTCATTCATGGGCCCTTGTTTTTCTCATGTAGGGGTTGTTTGTACGTCTTGGACTTTCATCGAGTGCGCATTGAAGTTACACAGAGCACGAAGGTCATCTCACTCACTGCAGTGGCAGCGCTTACGAAAGATTACGGTGCTTTCACACAAACAATTTGCACTTTTATCAGTATGCTCTCATTCTGTCCTTTGTTTTTCAGCAGTGCGCCGGAGGTGTCGAACTGTGACAGTTCCTATTTATCGCGCGTGTTCTGTATGTTCTTTTTGTGTGTTACTTCTGCTTGACGAACATAGCGTAAGTTTGCAGCGTTTCTACGTTCTTAGCATGACATTATAATTTGTCGCTTCAACATTAATTTTTTCGAACAAGCATTGAAACAATGCCCAATAAACGCTCAGCTACCTCTGTGAAGACACGTCTCACTGTTCTTTTATTCCGATTCCTATGACAGAGCGCTAAGTCGAGTTTGTGTGTTTTCTGTTTTCCTTTTCGACACGTACTTCTGCGGACGAGGCAACGTCGTTGTACCGCATACACATGCCTGCAGAATCGCTGCCCTCGCAATTCATATTGCAATAATATGTCTTATGGAAGCTGGATGAGGGCTGAAAGCAAAATGGACGGTCTTGGAGAAGGTGATCGCATTGTGCATGATTGTTGGGGACACCCGCTCGTTTTCCGCCGCGGTGGTCCAGTGGTTATCGCACTCGACTGCAAACCCGACGGTTGCGGAAATCGAATCCCGTCATTGCCGGTTGCATTTTCATTGGAGGCGAAAATTTTTGAGGCCCAAGTGTTTAGACATAGGTGCACACTAAAGAAACCAAGTTGGCCGAAATTTCCCAGAGCCCTTTACTACGGTGTTCATTGTGATCAAAACGTGGTTTTGGCACGGTAAACCCTAAGTATTATAATATTTCGTTCCAATTATACCGTTCGCATCAAAGTTCGACACCTATTGAGAAAATGTTGCGCTTGTGCGGGAATGGCCGGAAATCTCCTGACAAACATACCCAGCATGATCACGATAAAAAAATAGCAGATGCTAGTGGTGAAAAAAATTTTCCGGCCTTCATTATACCACGTGGGAAGTGCTCGTTTTATCAGTTTGGATTCAGTACATTGTTGTCACGCGAAAAAGCGGACTAAAATGAAGAGGAGGCCTCAAGTTTTCTCAAATCACACGTTCATTTGGTTCAATAAATACACATATGCTGTAGCACCGTATATTCACAAAAACATATTGATCCTTGGTGGAAGCGTAGGACGAAACGTTTTTTTTGGGGGGACGGGGGCGCACCTTTATTTATTGCTGTGATAGCACCTCCTTGAAATGGTCATTTGTCGCTCTGTATTCCATGGCAAATAAATACTTCGGGAGTGGGTGGCACGGGCTCGGCATGCCACTTCCTGGCCACGTCCGTGGTAGTTAGGATATACAAACACTAATAGCAATCATTCAAAGCTGTTCACGACATTGCTTGGGCCCCGAGAAAGAATAAATGAAAACGCATAGCAGTTTTGTTTTGTTCGAAGACTCGAATACTCTTGGTTATCCCCCGAGATTCGTAGCAGCAAAATATTACTGTACGTAGCACCTTATAGACTATCTTACGAATGGGTTCTGGTGCCGCCATCTAGTGCGATTATTCTTTGTGTTTTTCGTCTCAACGAGTAAACAAATAGTGTTACAACAGACGCATAAGCTTGACAACGCTTGAATTGGTGCATGCGATGTTCCTTGACTTAATCGATTCACGTTACAATATACCAAAACCGGACAACATCGGCTTAGCAGGCCGAGATGGCAGCGGCCATATGCCTTAGGTAAAATGGTCTATGCCACCATGCTCATCAGAAGAAAAAGAGAACATTTATTTGCCTACTCACGCCATAGTGTTCCACTTCCTCGCATTTCAGATACTGTTTTGCAAAAATCTTGTTCTTGATTTTAGGATTTCTTGACTCTGTTAGCAAGGAAAGCATTCATTTTATTTGTCATTACGGGAAAGATCAAATAACGTATTCAGACGTAAACCTTTCAGTGTTCTCGCATTGACATTTTCAAGGTAGATATTTATGCTTGCAGGAAATAATACTTTTTTCGATTTTTTTGTGTTGAACAAACCCATTGTTTGATGAAAGAGAAAAAGTGCCATGTATTCATGTCTACAAAATATGTCAAGTACTTTAAACACAGTCTTACTAGATGAAGAAAAAGACGTCTCTGTATGGTGACCAATCAGCAGTCCTTACGTGAAGGTGACGACACCACTTGAGTTTGCCACGAAGTGTGTAACACCCACAAAGGGGAGAGATTCCTTAAATCATGCTATATTAGATGCACGCCTCCTGAGTAGCTAAATTCTCAGCATCTATACCTCGAAATCTATTAGGAAAACGTTTTGATAGGCTACTTGGCGTACATTCCTAATTGATTTTTGAGGCACAAAAACACAACCACAACAAAGGACATGGTACTGGCGCTCTGTCTTGTGTCCTTTTTTGTGGTTGTGTTTTGTCGGGCCTTATGTGAACTCAGAATGGTGTTCAATACAGTTACGTTCGCTAATTAGGATGATTTGGTCTTTGAGATATCGGTAAGCTTTTTTTGGCAGCGGGTCAAAGCAAACGTTTGCAAATAATACGGTAATTTCGTTCACTTGAGATGTTCCACAACAATTCACTTAATCAAAGCAGATCTTTACAAATTCAGTCATGGCTGCATACAAATGCAAAGCAGCACTAGAAAGACCCTAATTTGCAGTGTCGCTTCCTATAAGCTATGTGGCGTATATGCTCGTCAGCAGGATGTAGTTTCTCGTCGATTACCATTTTAGAGAGCTGCAGGGAGGCACGCGTTTCCACATTTAGTGTCAACCTGTCTTGTCCTCCAGTGTCACTGACGGTGTGCTTCCAAAGACTACGGCACTGGCGAAACACATGTGAAGCCAAGTGCAGTACTGTTACTGTGTCGGCAGCCACAAAAGCAGCGTCCTCTATTATTGTAAGCCCCGCCGCGGTGGTCTAGTGGCTAAGGCACTCAGCTACTGACCCGCAGGTCGCGGGTTTGAATCCCTGCTGCGGCGGCTGCATTTCCGCTGGAGGCGGAAATGTTGTAGGCCCGTGTGCTCAGATTTGGGTTCACGGTGAAGAACCCCAGGTAGTCGAAATTTCCGGAGCCCTCCACTACGGTGCCTCTCATAATCACATCGTGGTTTTGGGACGTTAAACCTCACATATCAATCAATTATCAATCTCTTATTGTCAAAAAATTATACCCTTCCCTCTTCATCAGGGCAAGGTGGCCAACAGGAATCAGATTCGAATAATATCCCTCCATTTCTTGGTATCAAGGTTTTAAGTAAGGGTTGTTGCTAATCTATGTTCAACAAACACTGCAGGAGCGTGCAATGGACTGAGATGTATACAAGGACAAAAGGCTTGCTTTTTGTGGGAATAAGGGGACAAAATAACGAGGCGCCTTTCAGCAGCGCCTGGTGCTGTTTTTATTCGTTGTTCTATCGTGCACGTGTTCGAAGTAGAATTTTCGAAGAACATCTAGACAAGCAACAGCTTATGTGTACTCCCTTTCTTTTCTTCTATTGCGATAGCAATTATACTCACAATCTCAGCTGGCTTTTGCCATCGCCGCCACCGTTATTCACCGTATATGTATGTATCTGTGTATATGAAAACTCAAGAAAGGAAAAAAAAAGCCATCTGCACTCGGCGCCCTGCTCGTAACGATGCGCAGATGTGCGCTTAACTCCCACGCGTCCTTTGCCACGCGAAAGGGGAGGGTGGAGGAAGCGCACGCTTATCCTTCGGTAGAGAGAATCGCGTGCTTTCGGCTTTCACCGGAACGATTGCGTGAATCGCCAGGCCCACAAAGGCTACTTCACTCGCTAGATAGGCCCCGTTTTCGATAAAAGCGCGCTTTTCATACATATTGCTATATAACAACTGCGGCACTTGTTAGTTTGCACTCATATGTACTTGTGATAATGTTTCGTGCGTCGTTTTTTTCAAACAGCGCATTAAGTGTCGAGTGGTAAACATTGTTCGCTCTCGTTCTGTGTATGTTATTTTCATGCGTCATTTGTGCAAAAACAGCGCACTGCACGTTTCGATCCCTTTGCCGTTCTCAACATTACTTTTAAAGTTGTTGCTGTCGCATTCATTGCTTCGCTTTTGCAGTAGAATTTTGACTTTTATGCTACTTTCTAAGTCTCCCTCTCTCAAAGTAATAAAGCGAATGAAAACATCTTTTAATAACCATTTAAAGCCTCCTTCCGTGCGCGTCCGTGTATTATGGCTCAAGGTAACCTCACGTGGTACTGCATTGTGGTTTCCCAGATGACATCTGCAGCAGCCTGTTGGCACGTTCCTCCACGCTGCTCTGTGAAAGATTGATTGATTGATTGATTGATTGATGCTTATGTTGGATTTAACATCACGAAACCACCATATGATAATCAAAGACACCGTAGTGGAGTGCTCCGGAAATATTGACCACCTGGGGTTGCTTAATATGCCCAAAATCTAAGCACATGGGTGTAAAGCATTTTTACCACCTCCGAATATGCAGCCGCTGCAGCCTAGATTTTATCCCGCAGCCTGCATGTCAGTAGTTATGTACGTTAGCCACTAGACCACCAAGGTGGGGCCGCAGCTCTGCAAAGGCGGCTCGAGCATAGCGTCTTCCGACTAAAAGTTGTACCAGTTGTGCTCGTGTTCGTCTTTCTCTTCTTATTCTCGCTACGTCACAATTCCATTAGCTTTGTAGAAGGAGCCGTGGTTTTCTCGTTCGCTTTTTTCATTTCACTCATCATGTTCTGCTATATAGTATTTCATTGACTTGGTAATGCACGGAGTAATAAGGACTCATTTTGACGATTACCGTACCCGCGATGACCGTGTGCCTGTTGACCAGGCAGTTGTAGGACGTTGACCACGCTCAGTGTCTGCCCTACTCACTTTCGTCCCATGGTCGCATCTCTGCTGACGTCAGTGGAAGGAAGTTAAGCAGCATCTCAACCAGTCTCGTGGTGCAACGCGAAAAAAAAGGTACAGAGAACTGGAAATAATCAATTTCTTGAGAGAAAATGGTGCTATTATCAGCATCCCGGACCATTCAAATAAGCTCCGTGACAGCCCTGGTTGTGTCTACTGTTCAGGCGAGCTACACAACCCTTTGTGTATAAATCATAATTTCGTTGTTCTCCCGACATGGTCCAGCTTCTTCTGTCTGGGTGGAAGATCACACGCCGTTTGACGACATAGGCATGACCGACAGAGTGAGCTCACTGCTCTTCAGCCATGGCATTTCAGTCACACGAGATACTGTCCGTGCCGCTGCTGGGCACACGAACTTGTCTCTCATTAATTTTAGTGCTGAATGCAGGAAACTTCCGCAGGACATAACCGTCGCGCTTATTTCGACAGTACCGTAGATATGCGAGGCTGTTTGTCAGTATTAGTTGAAGTGCCTAAATAGTAGTCCGAACCAGTTCATAGCCTTGGCACTACCCCCTGACTTAATGAGCGTGAAATATTTATTCAGCTGCGAGCCGAGTTTCGGGACTGCTTTTTATCGCCACCACGAGTTGGTAGAACGTCGCTAACAAAGCCGTCAAAGTGTGCCTGGGCGTCACCTGTAGTGTTAAAAAAAAGCACCGTACCCTGCGTTTTTGCATGGACTTCAGAAATCTGAATCAGGGGAGAAAGAAAGATGTGTACCTGCTCCCACGTATCGATGACTCACTTGACAGACTTCCACACGCTTGCTACTCTTCTTCGATAAATTTGAGGAGTGGATACTTGCAAATTGAGGCAGAGCCGCAAGGTCTGACAAAAGCACTTATGTGACAAGATGTGGTTTCTATTGAATTAAAGTATTGCCCTTTAGTTTGTGATCTGCATCAGCAACTTTTGAAAGACTCAAGGACACTGTATACACTGGGTTAATGTGGAAAACATGCTTAGTATATCTAGACGCCGTCATATTGTCATCTGCAACGTTTGAGGAGCACCTCGAAATACTACAAGTTGTTTTACGAGCCATATGATCCACGGGCGTCACATTAAAGTCACAGAAGTGTCGCTCTCTTTCTTGATCACGTTGTCCACTACGCAGGCGGTCGGTCCGATTTCAAAAAATTTGCCGCCATTGCACAGTTCCCACTATTCTTTGTTAAGAAGGCTCTCAAACGATTCCTAAGACTTTGTACGTATTATTTCCACGCACTTCGTGCCGACGTCTTCAAATTGATCTGTGCCAACGTCTTGAAACACCCCCAGTACTCACCCACATTGACGAGGAAGCCCCTACGATGCTTCATGAGGACGCTAGCAATGTAGTTTCGTGAGCGGTGCTTGTGCAGTTTCATGAGGGCACAGAAAGAATGATTGCCTATGCAAGCAGAATCCTAACGCGCCAGGAGGCAAACTCTTCAACAACTTGGTAAAAACTGCACCATGTTATGGGCAGGAATAAAGTTTCACCCGTATTTGTATGGCTGCTCTTCTAAAGTTATTAGAAAAATTATTGATTGCTGGTTCACAACTCTTGAACATCCCACCGGCCGATTAGAGCTTTGTAGTCTGAGACTGCAGGAACGTGATATGATGCTCACGCAATAGTCGGAGAAGTGACATACGGATGCCGACTGCCTCTCCCGATCACCAATACACTAAGCTTCCCCACATGATGAAGATCAAGCTGCATTTTTGGTGTGCTCGACACGACCACCATCGCGAAACAACCACGTGATAAACCTGAGTGCTTTGTTTTAATCTATTACTTAGACGGACAATCTCAGAATGCACCCAGGGTTTTTGCAAGCGTATTGCGACGTTTTTGGTACGCAGCCGTGTCCTTTAAAAAAATAACCTTTTGTCGATCAGATCTTCTTGATTCCTTACCATTCCATCAACCCTTCGTAGTAATGTGCCTCAAGCATGTCCTAACATTGCAACTTCTTGCCACTTAAAGTACACCAGCACATTGGCGGGAGTTTAGCAAAGATACTACTGCCTAAGGCTAACCACAGTGGTCAAGCAACAGAATCGTACTTGCTTAGACTGTCGGCGACCCTCGTCGCCTCACTGGTCTGATGCAACCTGTTTAGATTCAACCCGCACCATTCAATAAGATCGGAAACGATATCTTGGGTCTACTTCCCACCTCTTCCGCAAGGAACCGATAGGTTATCGTCGAAATGAAATACTTCAAACAGTACGGCGAAACGAAGGCCATTCAAAGAAGCACAGTAGCTGAAGTCGCAATATTTTTCATAGCAAATGCACTGCGACATGATTCACCAAACCGTCGTGATAACAGACCATGAAACCGTATGTACTGCAGATTTTTGACCACAATCTTCATGGTAAATGCAACGAGTCATCGTAAGAACGCTGCCTACCACCTGCAGACGAACAGATTGACAGAGCGCCTAAACAAGATTGAAGACATGCAGTTGATGTAAGTGGATGTCGTACATCCACATGAAAATGGAGAGAAAACATTGCCCTATATCCCGTTCACGTACACTACAGCTAAACAAGAAACGACTTGCATCACTTCATTCAGCATCGTTCACGGATGGCATGTACGCACAATGCTGGATGCAATGTCACAACATGAATGGGACAGCAATGACACGGGCGCCGGCGTATATACCAAACTCGCGGAAAAAGCAAGGCCACTTCCATGCTTTCAAACCCACCAGCAAACAGACTACGACGCAAGCCGTTACAATGCTCACCGGACAGTATAGTGACCTACGAAGCCGGCAACCAGTGTGCGTTTGGACATCCACACGAAAACGTGGACTGTCCGAGACACTCTTGATGCGATACTTCAGACCATATCGAGTATTGCGAATGTTAAGTGACGTTACCTACAAGATAAGCCCCGACAGTTCCTATATTGAACCAGGCGTATCTGGCACTGGCCTAAACTTGTACTTGTGGTATGCATGAAACCGCATGTCAGCGACCGACAGCGCGTTTTCATATAACGGCGGTTCTGATGGAGCATCGGGGCAATGCCCCTGTGAGGAAGGGCAAGGGACACTCGTAAAAGACGATAACAATGGAGATGTTTTGCGGAGTCTGGGTAGGGGGACTGTAGTTTTGGAAAGTAAGTTGGATAAGTCATTTTTTGTGCAGTTTCTTTTTGTGCATACATTGAAAAAGGCCTCAGCAATTTTAGGAAATCACCACTGAGACTTAATGCGGTTCTTTTTTTTATTCAGGCTACCAAACGTATCCTACTGTAAATCTGAATTTCGAAACTACTTTTGTGCAAAATAGAAAAGTTGCAACGCATATAATTTGAATGGTTGGGTCACGCAAACGCAGCAGCTTGGTCGTCTGAAAATCTCAGCATATCACTTTTCCCCCCTTTTTTTTCTTTGTTTTTCTCTCCATGAAATTTATTGCATTATTTGTATGTTTTTTTAAATTCATTTCTAAAAATAAGTGCTATCCCCATAGAAAAGTTAATGTACGCTTTCTTCGCGAATTCCCTGACGTGGGTTTGTGCAACAGCCTTTAGGAATAATGTAAAATAATATACAGCCTGTTTTCAACATGCTGTTTGGTGGTCGCAAGTGCGCTACATCTTCTGTTCACGTTGCGCCATGACAATATGTTTTCCTTTGCAAAAAATGATAGAAACGTGTACAGGTTTTTTTAACAATGTCTACAGTGACATGAATAATTGGCTATAATATGAAGACCAAGTGAAGGGTTCTAGCATGTAATCACGTGAGCGTAAGGACATAAGCGCACAGAAGAAAAGCAGAATTATAACTGACGTTTGCTAAAATAAAGTATTTGCAAGAACACCACCGTTCTTGCCAAGACACGTAATTATGTCAAAAGAATGAGCGTGAACAGATGGAAGCAGCAGTGAAGTCACAACGCCACAAAGGCCCACAACAACTCAAAAACAGCAAGAAGAAAAAAACTTTTGCGCTTGCCTATGCAAGAAGTGACACAATCATCCCGGTAAATCTGGGCCTCTGTTCCTGCATTTTGACCGGAGGCTCTGCTCTGACAACTCATAGTGCAATAGATTTTCCGCTATGGTGCGTGTTTTCAGTGTTAGTTCCCATTTGGGGTGTCCTGACTTCCCTGTTGTTTTCCTTGATTGCCAGCCCAGTCATTTTACATGCAGACGTACCAACAAGATTCGTTGTGAGTCATTCTCACCAGCAGTAATTTTACACAAACTCACTTGCACTCCCTTTTCTTTTGGGTATTTCCAACCGAACCTCAACGTGTGCGAAACATCGTAAAAAATAGCAGATACTGAAACTTTTTATGTGTATGATTGTCAATAGGTTTCCTGGCACATACAGAGTCCAGCCTCCTGATAGGGAAGGTTCAGGAATTATTCATTTCCAGTCTAATAAGGTAACTCCCCACGAAGCAACAATGGTAAAACCTTATTTGCGTTCGCACCTTTTGCATTGCAAGTGTGAAACCCCCTGCTCCAGTTATATAGGCAGAAAATTGTGATGTTGATGCATAGAGGTCGCTGAGCCATCAGATCACCTTGCCAGCGTAAGGCTGAGGTTGACCACAAGAGAGCAATGTCTGATGCATCGCAGACAATGTGCAGTCTACAAAAACTGCAGTTTTGTTTTTTCATAGCCTCTGTTCGCATCGTTCTGTGCTTCTTTGATGCTTTTCGTCAATCTTTCCGCTGACAAAAAGCTGAAGACACCAGTGTACTGCCATTTTTTTCGTTCCACGTTTAGGATTGTGAAACACGCCAAAGAGTTGCGGCACCGCTTGGAACTTTTTCTTTTCGAGACTCCGGTGCTTACTTCAATCTTCACTGTTTTTTCCTCGTCACCTTGTTAAACAAAGTTTGAACCTGGCACAGGAAAGAACTTCCCCTTGCATTGCAAGATTCGTGAATGCAGAGCATGTTTTGGCAGTAATTCATTTGCGAAATAGGAATTTAATTAGAAAGTAAAGGCAAATATGCAACACTTTCAATATTGGGGAGCTGAGTGCTGATCTACGAGTAACAAATTTTTTATCTTACAGATCAGTGTTTCATTATCTGACGAAGCTGCGATTTCAGAACATATAGCACGTGTTTGGTTACGCCTGGTTAAAAAATCGGCAGAGAGGAGAGAAGCGGATTAGTTTTTGAATTTTTATGATTACTTCTCACAGTTTTTCACCAATGTGAGGCTACGTGAATATGTCCCTCTAGTAAACTTCATTTGCACATTCATTCTTTGCACTGTGTTTTTCTGTCATGCTCTCGTTTCAACGTGCTGGACCATTATTTTGTCATCACGTACCAAGTGTCCTAAGAAATCGCGCTTAATACCATGGAACGTGCCCATTCCATGCCATCGCAAGGATCTATAACCACCAGGAGCTTACCAAGTTTGTAAGAAGGTTTGCATATGCCTCGCTGGCATATCCCCACGTTATTCACACGGTCCTCATACTCGTCCAAAATCTGGAAGAATGATGAATAAAAGGGTGATTCAGGGAGTAGATATTTTTTCTGTTTGTATCTTTATGAAAACTTTCAGTGACACGGTAAATTACTTTCTTGTATCTTGCTTTCCCATGTATCACTTCTATTATTATTTGCTGCAGTAAGTGGGTGAATTTGTTCAGTGTACACACATGAAATATTTTAACACTATCAAATTCTCGAATTTCTACAGGAATGATGTTGTGTATGGCTTGATAGCCTCAATGTGAATCGCATAAATTTAAGCAAAATATTGTGAGATACATTTGCCTAGGTTAAGTTTATTTCGTTAACTCTTAATGTTTTTTTTGCTTTTGTTGTGTAGAATATTTCGCCGATATTTAGCATAACTCACAGCAATAGATCTCATTTCAATTGAAAGATTTGCGTGCGACCTCGACAGTCTCGGGAGAGTTGTAGCTGTACTTCACTGGCTTGCAAATTTTTTCAAAGTGCCAAACGTATTGACATCCCACTTCTGTTTTACGTGTTAGAGAAACGATAGGAATATGTGCGTAATTCTTCACCATACGATGAGTTGAAATTTTCTCGGAGATCCTGTGCTGAATTTATGAGATGAGGCTTACCCCTTATATGGAGATTTACGTTCCAAAATCACCCAGTGATTATGAGAGACGCCGTAGCGGCAGGCTCCGGAAATTTTTGCCACAAGGTGTGCTTTAACGTGCGCTGGCATAGCACAATACGCAGGCTTTTACCATTTCGCCCCTATCGAAATGTGACTGCCATGGCTGGCATCGAGCACGCACGTTTTTAGGTCAGCAGCAGAACCCCAGAACCACTGTACCAGTGTGACGCACAAGTCAGTGCCAAGCAGCGACAACTTTTCAGTGCTGACATTCTGAATGCGCCCTCGTGCAAAGGGGCTGCATATTATGATATGCGTGCTTTGTTCATAATGGTGCATGCGCGATGCTGCCTTACCAATAATGATTCGGGTTCGTATGCATTCTGACTCCGCCATGAGTTCACCATTCAGGACACGTTCTTAGACTACACGAATAGTAAAAAATGAATTCACAATAAAAAAACAGCCACAAGTCACGTGGTATTCAAGCAAATGTTTGCATCTATACCATACCGAAATTTCGTGTCTTCACAATTATATGACCCTGCAAATCGCCAAGGTGTTGGACACCATCATGACGGCATGGCACTGCGTCACATGATGGCTTAGTCACACGAATTCGTATATTAATAATAGACGCCTAGATCAAGAGTGAGTACTACACGTAGCTAGGTACAGAGTGGTACTTTTACGGGAGGGCGTATTCCAATCAACCGGACAGGTATAGGGTGCTTTATAATCAACAGGACCGGTATAATTGAATACGTAAGTTTTAACATTCGCCTCACCCAGTGGTGTAAGGAACACTGTAGCAGAGTGCATCGCGCAGACACTTTGTAGAACGTTCTCAAACAGAAAACGATAGCTTTATAACTATTGACTTGAATCAGTCAAGCGTTTCTGTACAGAAAACTACGTGCCAATTACTATGAGGTATACGTGTGTGACTCATACGCTGTACGGAGGTGTGTGGATCTAGTGTGCGTCAATGCCGCACACTAGATCAAACGCGTTCCTAGCGCGTTTGAACAACGCGCCCTAACGTTAGTAATTATAATTTAGAACAGATGTCTTCTCAGCAAGATATTGATAAAACGTGGAAAAAGGGGATATGCTAGAACACGATCGTTAATTGAGTGCGCATAAATAAATCTCTCTGGTAGATGACAAGAAACGCCTACCACACAAGGTGTTCCAGCACTGTAGTTGATATGTTTCCGCTTGCCGAAATACGTACATGTATATTGGCAACTTGTTGCGTATCCTTTCTGAAAGGGAAATAATTTGTAAGCGAATATCCTGAGCACCAGCTCATTATTCATAAACATTATTGAGCTCTTTTTCAGGCAGTTGCCTATGACCTAAACAAAATAGAGCCTAAATATCAACATTCGTCATTACTCATTATGTACTCGGTACATCTCTAAACGCAATAGAAGGATAAAGAAAGCGCGGCGGCCAAATATAACCAAATGCATAATTTCGCAAGAGACATGCAACTGAAAAAAGGCCTGGGAAATAAGCATGAATGTTATTAGCCTACACATACGTAGCAAACGTAGAACAGCCTGTGACATAACACTTAGGAGTAAGTCCGATCTTACGCTTTATTATTTGCACGAGAAGTTTTGAAGCAGTACCTATCTCCTTCCCTAACGCGACAAGCTATTCTTTATTAGCCAGCGCTTTCATTGCAACAACATTGCATGCTGATGCTCGCCTTTATTGAATCACAGCGATAGTACAATTGATGCATTGTTAGTGCCAGATTGTGGACAAGCTATAATATTGGGTAGACATTTTTTCTTGGGCTTGATTGAAAGGCGCATTCTTAGAGCAACAAAATTAGAGGAAGCTTTTTAGACTTTTTTTGTGCTGTATACAAGTGGCATTTTTTACACAATTTACACGCGTAGTTATTACATCAATAGAAATACGAATGCATTACATCATGAAGTAAGTTGAAGCTCACCAGTATATTTGAATTACATTTCTTGACATGATAACCAGTGCACAATTATTAATAAATATAAAACAGGTACGATAATAGTATTTATATTCTATACATTTTACTACAAGTATAACAGATGAAATAAAGTTCAATGAAGAAAAGGAGGAGCAGATGGCATGAAGAGCAGGTCTTGTTTTTCATTCCTCGCAAGAACAAATAGGAGACACGTAATGTATTATTGTAGTCAAGAGTCCGACGGAATCTCGTCTGGTCGGGGACAAACATAATGCAAAATAACAAAAACGCCGGCCAATGTGGAATACACAAAACTTAAAAAGACGTTTCGGCTCCCCACACGGGAGCCTTGTTCATAGTGACCGCATATGGCGCAGTGCGCTCTTCTTATGTATGTTTCATCACGTGTTGCAGACATCGCGCGTACACAGGGGGAGTGTCCCAATATTTCTGTTTAACGTATGCGCAGTAGCCTGAATGGCCAGAGCTTCTATGTGCAATCGTGGTAACAACTTTCTTTCATGTTGCGTCTGCTGGGCACGCTAACGACTGGGATAAAGCTTGCATCATTGCCACGGAAAAAAAGTTGCTACCACGATTGCACATGGAATCTCTGGCCATTCAAACTACTGCGCATACGTTGAACAGAAATATTGGGACGGCCCGTGTGCTCAGATTTGGGTGCACGTTAAAGAACCCCAGGTGGTCGAAATTTCCGGAGCCCTCCCCTACGGCGTCTCTCATAATCATATGGTGGTTTTGGGACGGTAAACCCCACATATCAATCAAAAATATTGGGACACTCCCTCCTGTGTACGCGCGATGTCTGCAACACGTGATGAAACATGCATAAGAAGAGCGCACTACGCCATTTGCGGTCACTGTGAACAAGGCTCCCGTGTGGGGAGCCGAAACGTCTTTTTAAGTTTTGTGTATTTCACCTTGGTCGGCGTTTTCGTTATTTAGCATTACGTAATGCATTATTATAAGTGACAATCGTATAGCACAAAAAATACGTTCAGACGCAAGTATCACCAAAATCTTGTTATTGTTTCATTTTAGATCTACTAAAATAAAAAAGTATATAGCTTAATAACGTGGTTTTTACCCAGCTACAACATTCTGAACATCGTATACATGCCTCCTTTTTTTACAGTAGAGGATAAAAAAGAATGCTTACACCATAGTACTGGCCATCACATTTCTGTTCAGGTTTACTCGAATTAAACTTGGGAACTTCATCTGTGAGTAAGAAAAAAATTTCCGGTACGAAAAAAACTTATATGCCAAAAGTATTGACACCAGCCCCGCTTAGCATCATATAACTTATTGCTTTATCGTAGCAGATCACTCGAACCATAATAAGTCAAAGTGCGGTTTTACACTAATCTCCCTTTACCATTCCCCCGCTGCAGAAATGTATTTTGCTTGTCTTTCTAACGCGCAATGGCAATTTTCTTTCCTGCTTGCTTTCCCTGCTTGCCTCGTTTTGGTGTGGATGCTTGTCACCTGAAATGGCATCCTTCTTAGGAAAGTAAGTGCAGTTTTTCAAAAAGGAAGTGCGAAATAGCTACATATTTATTCTTTTTAGCATCAATAATAAACACCCCAATTATGTATGTTGAGGTGTCATGGAATCATGTTTGTGAGAGGAATCATGTTTGTGGAATCATGTTTGTGTTTGTGGAATCATGGAATCATGTTTGTGAGAATAGGAATCATGTTTGTGGAATCATGGAATCATGTTTGTGAGAATGGGAATCATGTTTGTGAGAGAGACGCGAACACTTATTTTTTACGCGATAACTGAATCATACTCGTATGTTTGTATTTGCTTTATTTGCATGCTTTCTGGTAGCCAGACAGCTATTTACTACCGACTGTTCAGAAGCAAAGAGTGTTCTAAAGTCCATGTAATTGAGTCCATAGACATTGAAAACCCTTTGCCTTTTATCGGCGAAGTCTTTAGTGGCAGGCCTTTTTGAAATAATGAACCGGTGTGCCGAGTAAAGTAATAAATTAGTGATAGTGAACCAATGTGCCGAGTGAAGAGTAAAGTGCAGTGGATAATTCAAATGCCTAAACGTACCGTCATGCGTGATGTGGTGAAGTTTTCTTGTAGACATCACGACGTGGCGCTGTAGTTCTGTGACGGTTGTGGGCATGCGTCACCTTCATCACGTGATTCTGTTATCGCATTGAACAGTGCTGCGTGTTTGTTTCTTCTCTAAAAGTTCCGTGTTTTGGCGCTGATAAACCTGTCCAAATATTCATGAACCAACTTGCCCAAGCAGCAGTTTCAGTGAGTACTGCAACTGTGTAAAAACTCTTCACCATGTCTTGTACCACTATCCTGAATTTGAACAAGATCAACGGACTTTCCAATAAGCCTTGAGCACACTGTATGGTCGTTTCTTTGCTCAGGAAATGATCTGTGGTGGATGGTCTTAGAGTTCATTAGTTCAGAAAACCACACGAGCCCTTCTAGAATTCTTCAAGGTAATATCACTGAGTGACCAGCTGTGAAACTCTGCAGTCTGCGCGTTGTGTGGGAAGTTAATCTCCCTTTCTCTTTCTCTCTCATTCATTTTTCTCAATGTCCCCTATTCCCACATTTAGAGTTGCACACTGCGCGTATAGTTGGGTTAACCTATACCTGCTTTTAACTCTGTGTTGCATTTAAGTGAGAAAGCACAGCAAAGTATTTTGCATCGACCACCTCAGGTGTTCTCCTTTACTCAATTTAACAGGACATATGTATTGTGGAGGTGGTAGAGATTTATTAGTCGAATTCAGACCGTTGTTTATATCGTACACTCACTACGTACCTGTATAAGTATTACCGGTATTTGGCGTTCAATTTGCACCTACCGCGGAATTCCTGTGGTTGGTGTTTAAGTACAACCATGCTACTAGCCTAAACAACAAATTTGAAGTGTTTTAACCACAGAATTCAGCACTTTATCTGTGGTACTTTTATTTCAAGCGAACGAAGACGCTTATTATTGTCAATTTTTTCTTTTGCGACAGGCAATGTTATTTACAAATCAAAATTCAGACATCACTTTTTAAAAGTGCAAACTCTCTGTTGAAGCAGTGGTACTATATGGGGCTGCATTCTGATGTTGCTTCACCCAGTTAATTATAGGCACTTAGCGTAGATCTCCAACAGAAATAATATGACCAGCAGAGCGTCCCTGTCAAAGTGTTACCAGAACACCCTGCCCAATGGCTCCTGGAGGTTAGCGGACTACTTTAGCATGTTGATATATACATCCTTATGTTTACTATTGCTCCCGATAAAAGAAAACGAACAATGCCCTCTACATTCAGGCAATGTGCAATAGTATTTCGCGCTACTAAAAGGCCATGATGTTTAGAAATCATAGTGACAGAACCTTTTTCGACTCGGTGACAAATAATTCGAAGGCAATACAAAGATTTTTGCCTCATTGGGTACTTAAGCTATGCGCATTCTATCACTTTCTTAAAAACAGCGAACTGTGTGGTTCACAGTGTGTGCTTGGTTGATTATATAATTTACATATTTAACTAAGTAGTTCTTGATGTTACCAAGAGATACCAAAAAAATACATTTTGTGCGAATTCCACCTTTTGATACAATGGAGCCGATCATGCAGCTTTGTTAGTTAAATGTATGTTGGAATAGAATCTACTTAGGCGTGGTCACTCTTTATATTTGAGCTTTTTAACTTTTAAAAGAATTGATTCTTTACCGCTTCAGCGCTCTCTGATGTTAAGTAGTTCTTTCTAGGTGCTTGATAATGACTAACGCGAATGAACGAACTCCTGCGCAAATGCAAGTAAAATAAAAGTGATAGCTTCTCTTTTTTCATTGCATTGCTGGACAACTTAGGGTTAAATAAAGTGAACAACATTTGTCTTTTAGTTTAAGTTTTTTCCCCATTGATTTATTTTGTGCTGTTGTAGAGAGGTATCAATTTATAATACTAGTTTGCACATTTGCTGCCCTACTGTTAAAATTAGGTAAAATTGACCAACTCAAAAGCATCGTGCGAACACTGTTTAGCAAGAAACGTCTATTTATCCCTTCACCTCTCTCTCACTATATATATCCAAAGCTTCCTGCACAGGTTAAATAAGAAGAAAGGGTGGAATTTATGCTCCAAACCTGACACCAGAAGACCGTTGTGAAGAATATAGGGTAATGTTTGTTGCTCGATAGTCCGTCCGACCAAACAGAATGCTTTCAACTCTGCTGATCGATCTCTGAGCCAGCGAGACGGGCTAACTTTGGTATCGGTGCTTGCAGCGTTGCCTCATGCAGCACAAGATGTTTCATCAACGATGAACACAAATGAGGAGGAATAACCGGTCTTCATCATAGAGTTACTTAGAACATTGACATTAGTTGACAAGCTATCATTTGCTGGTGTTTACTGTGTTAGCTACATTCTGTTGATACATATAGAAAAGAATCAGAGTTGCACTTTATTCCTATGTTTAATGCCATGGGCAAGCAGGTGTCTTCAACCAGTGCTGGAAACCAGGTCCTATCATCACCATTATGAATCGTGAAATTCTGAAGCAGGCATAACATGCAATTTTCCAACCTTCAATTTCTTTGTTACCACTCTTCTCTTCATAGGAAAGACTATGGAAAAGAATGTATTGATGCACCTGGACTGGTTGCTGATTATCTCCAATATCTACTTTCCGCAATTATCAGACTTCAGAGAGGGCCACCGCCGCATCGGCAATGTGTGAGATCTTATGAACTGCATGACACTCAACAATTCTGTGATATCAATTAAGCATTTGATAACGTGACTAACTAGGCTATTTTGTATGCCTTGAAGTCTCTTAGAAATGGTGGTCGTAGGTGCCACTATAAAGTTTGGACTACGTCGCTGCTCACTCAGTCTTTATGTCCACATAAAGGTGTCATCCCAGTACGCAGTGCATCCAGTACTTCCCCATGGTGGTGGTCTAAGTAACAGCGTTACGGGAATTTATAAATTCTCTTTAAAATTTCATATTCAACGAGGGGTCACGATGTCACCGAAAAATTTCCACTCCTGCTTCCACAGCGTTTGACGGCAACGTTGCACGTAAAATGTAGCGTTTTCTCTCGTTAGATGCATGTGAAGTCCCTTGTTTATTAACGTGGCATTCGCTGGGCCAAAGGTGTGGACACCCCGCGTACAATTATCAAAGTAAATAGTTGGAGATACGACATTTTCCGCTGGTTACCAAGCAGCGCTGGCAGCTGCTCAGAAAATGCGTTGCCACTCATGTACACAGCTCTCTGCGAAGTTCTCCAATGAAGCCTTCATGAACTGAAAGGCATTCCGCGAACCAACATACAAGCGGTCATTGAAGCTCAAGCGAACGCCAAGAGGGTATCACTCGGACTATGAAAATTTCGCAGAATATTACAAACCCCGCTGATGGCACATTCCTATCGGCCCCACTGCTTCTGCAGAAGGAATTCTTCAAGTCCACTTGCGCTATCTTACCAGAGTGCCGCAGCCTGCCTTTCCGTCAGACGGTCATAGGTGTATCAGCCGGCGGCCAAAGGGGAGCTCCTCTAAATGAGAAAAGTTTAGGGGGCTAAGCCTCCCCGCCTTTCGACAGGGGTCACTCTTGGCTTCACGCTAGGGAAACCAACAAGGCGTAGTTTTCTATCACAACGGTAATCACGCAATTGTGTTGCTACCGGAATATGGAATTGTTACGAGGCTATGTTACAACATTGTCACTGCGATGAGTTTCTTTGTACGTTTCATATATATATCCCGGCTACGAGTGAGGTAGGTTGGCAGGTTTACCCTCCCACTCGCGAAAGAGTTGGTACACCCCTGCAGATGCAGACAGTGATCTCAAGGTATGGAGATTGCCCCCGGGGCACTAATAAAGGGCATCAATGGCAGCAATGCTACCCTACAATATTGCTCTGAAATCGATTGTCAGTTTTATGCCGGAGTTCAAGAACACATACGAATACGTAGATTACCACTTGTGTATATTTTTGTAGAGCATGCAGCAACTGTTACAAAGTTCACTATAATACATTAACTGACGCCTGTGTTACGCCTGCACTCTGGCTGCAATTAATGCTATTGTAGACGAGACAGCTTAAGTTTTGGGTCGTTTTCACCGAATGAAGAGCAGCCCTGTTGTGGCTGAAGCCCTTTCGCACACAAGGAGAAAGTCTAATAAATACAAAACGCTTGTGCAACAAAACCTGCAAACACACTATATAAGTGTTGCGCAGTGAATAAGAGCCAGCTGTGGAACGGAAGGCAACATCTACGCTGAACATGATTACAATTCTGTTGACGATGCATGGAGAGAATTATATATCTCTCAAGAGAGCATGTAGGGGCGCATGTATCATAACACACTTGTCGCTAGCAATTATCCTCATAGACAGATGCAAGTATTGAGTGCCGACCACCGTACTAAATTTATCCATATTTTGTACTCCACATGCCAAGACAACTTATTTGCAATCAAAGGCGCCTTAGATCACCTCAGACTACACATTTTGCATACAAACTACTTCATGTGCACGATTAAAATAACTGACGTGCACATACGCCCTGTAGTGAAGTAGCACACTTCAGAAAGGGAAGTGTAGTGTAGCGACCATGGTGTCCATCTTGTCGGCCTTGTCTGTGTCAAAAGGGCACCACTTCGTGGTAAGGTATGAAGGTGGGTCACCAACTCACCCAGCAAAACCTTATGGCCCACATACATTCAGTTCAACACCCAAAAATACCTAAAGCAAGATCGGTAAAACAGCTGGCAATATCTTTAGGACAGATAGCTTCTTAAAGTGGCATTGCACTTTCAGCAAGCCTTGAGCTTGGAGCTGTGGTATATTCTCGACCCCTAGCAGAGCATCGTCAGCGCGTTAGTCGCCACAAAACTGCTGTTGACGTTTTTGTGGTTCACAAGGCTTAACAAAGTTTGGCAAGAAGTACATCCAACGAATGCGTTGTGGTTATGTATGATATGTGTTTATCAGCACACACCTAATGATTATCACCAGTTTTTGTACTAGCATGTTAAGCGAAGGCAGACGTTAACAAAGCACATTTGTTTAAAGCATTTGTCTCTATGCAGCATTGAGTGTTCTGAAATCTGCATTATTAGCGATTGCGCATAAGATGTTTATGTATTATTTTTCTGTTGCGTGATTAATCTGAAAATAAGAATGACCTTGTTTCCCACTGAAAGGACACATTGTGGCTTGCACATACTGGGTTGTCGATATTAATATTAAGTAAACACATCTAAGCCTTGAGGAGTTGCTTAAGTACTCCACCCGTCCTGGGTGACAAAAAATGAAACTTGAATATAGCCACGTTCACCACTTAGCGCTTTTGGCTGGTATGGGTCTCCCAACATGCTTATTGAATCCTTATGGCTAATCATTCAGATTTTGAATCTGTATAAAAATTCGATTTCTTAAAGAAAAAGAAGACTTCCTTCCTGATTCCCTCTACATTTCTCAGTATGATAAAATGGTTTCCGTAAGCGCAAATTCACTTTGGGCAAAATAAACCGGTTGAATTCATGTTGATTATTGCACTGTCCCTAGGGACATCGTTCTCAAAGATGAAATAAAAAAAGTGTTCTCAAAATAACTCTTACCCTCAATCAATATACAGATGCTTCTAATGCAATGCGCTCGTCTTCCAGGAAATTTCTCCTTCTGAAAGAAAAGAATACGTTCTACTGTTGTTTTTGCTAGGTAGAATGCACGTTGATGAACTTCAAGAAAACTGCATTTTGCACAATGTCATTATCGTACAACATATTTAGCTGAAAGGTTAGAGAACTATTACAATGTAATTAAACATCCTTTCCTCCCCAACCCATCCCGTTTTAAAAAAGGCAAATAGTTGTTATTTATACTTCAAGGGCAGAAGCTAAGTTATATTCTTCTGGAATGCAAATTTACCTCTTGCACTACCAGTTTTTTTAATGTTCACTATTGTGGTACTTTAGTCACGGTGCTTGTCTAGTGATCCGAAGCATACAAGTTTATCTGGACCACCACATGTTTATTTTGATGTCCCGATAAACTTAGAGGTCTGCGTTGTGTGCGATTATATTGAAAGTTCGAAATTAAGGGACCCTTAAACTTCGCCACTACGAATTTAGCGCAATAAAGACATTTTACTTCTAGTGCGTATTTCAAACAACTAATATGTGAAACTTTCTCGAACTTTTATAGTGGTTGACTGGCTTTCAGCTATAAAGTCGTCATGATATTCCAATATTCTCACACCAAATGGCAACGTACGCTTGTACCATGCATTATTACGGCAATATTTCGCGTTGTATTGCGATGCATGTATACAGGACGCATTTGTTAGTAAAGCTGAAAGTTACTGTCTCTGCAATTTCAAGCAGATGAATTTATTTTAACTGTACTCACATGCACAGGCACGAATATGTGGTAGAACACCCCCTCACCACACAAAAGTCGGGGTTAAATCCCCACTCAAACCCAGAATTTCTAAATTTTAATTGCATGTTTCTCAATTTTATGGTCTCGCAAAAATAATGATTTTTCGCTCAAACCCAACGACGCCGATGCTGACGCCTAGACCATTGCCGGAATTTCCGCGAAACGAGCTTTTTAAAGCTATGATGTTAAAACACCACATGGTTGAAACTTTTGGGGTTTCACCCACAGCACTACTCATAATCATATTGTGGTCTTTGCGCGTAAAGTAGTACATTTTATTTTTTTTAAATGCTAAGCATTCGTGAGTCGCACGATGTAAGGTGTTTTTTTTTCTTGCTGTAGCTTTTCTTTCTTTACCTCGACTGTAGTTTACCATTTCCCCAACCTTATATGCAAGGTGGACAACAGAAGCGAAGGTTTGTCAGGCGCCCTCCCTTTTTATATTTTTCTATCGGTCACTCGATGCCAAGCACTATAAATGGATATTCCTATAATGTTTAATAATGCCACATAACTTCCTAAGTTGTGTTACCGTTTCGTTGTACTGTCACTAATTTTCTGTGCAAACCGCACCTGCAGTGTTAGAGAAGGTTCAGGACTGTAGTAGAATAATTTGTTAAGATCACACCCACTTCACAAACAATACAGATTACTGTGGAATCTAGAACCTACGTCAGAATGCGGAAACTCCCTATATCTCTCATGTATTCACTCTCAGCAGCGGGAGCGCCGTTTTTACACGAGGCGGTGGCCACGCATATCAATAGAAATAAATTACGAACAAAAAAGTTTTTAATGACGTCACTGGTGAGGTCACCGAATAGAAGAAAAGGACGAAAAATTGAGAGAAAATGGGTTGCCACGGAAGCCTTTCCTTTCCCACTATGCATGCAAGCAGAGTGCGCTCGCGCCTCATTTCAGGTCTGCTGTACGCTTCGGCAATCAACCATAAAACTTTAGGATGACTGCCAGTTGGGCATGTTTTGTAAGTTCATGATGAAACAAGTGATTACCGATTTTGTTGATGTTCTTTAATTTTGTTTGTGTTTTCTGAAAAGGTGAAAGTTAAGCTGTCTCATTTCTCGCTAAGACGAAACTCGATCGTCACGAAAAAAATAAACGTTTTGTTTCATGTTTTATATAAAAAACAGATACATACAAGTTGTGCGAAAGTGTCAATTTCGAAACGTAGCTTTAATTTACAACCGACATACGCATATATTTAGCAATCGTTGAACCAAGACGATTCGAACCAATGCCAAAATATTAACAATCGCGAGTAAGATGCGTTGTACTTGACGCAATCACGTTTGTTATGACTGCGCACATAGTTTTCTTACAAAACTTGATTATCGAACGAGGCTGAAGTTCGGAGGCATGAAGAGGATTGAAGCGATCATAAACTTTTCAATGAGAACATCGCTGGAAACAGTGTTACAGCCTAATGACCTGTGGATTTTCAAGACAACAGCATTGCTTTGACGCAGAAAAACTCGCTTGTCAAAACGTTGCCTTCAGTGACTTTCCCTGTACTAATCTATAGAAGCACTTCTTTCTTTGAAAGTATTAGGAAGTAAAATATTTGAGTTACAGTACGAGTAAGTGAAGAGTCAGAATTCTTAAACCGTGGCTACATGAATTCTGTGAGCAGGAAGGTTTCTATAATGAAAGAAGCAGAGACTATGTAGCCAAGTCGACACAACTTCGAGCTTTTAATTTAACACATTTTCTCTACAGGAGCTTGGCTGCAGTCTTGAATTAGTCAAGTGACACTGTACATCTGTCAGTCCAGTCAGGCTTGCAGAGAATTGAGGCTTACTATTATGTACTCATACGAAATCAACACCTGCTTAATTATTGGATCCCAATTGTTGTGCTCACCGTTACCTTTCGGAAACGTTGAAAAACCTTTGTAGAACTGGAAATTCCCGAATAAGTACACCGCGGAGCCGCGAAAAACATGTCTTGCCTGATTAGGCCATCTTGCACGAATGCATGGCTGATTCGTTCGGCGTAGCCAACTGCAGCTGCCGTACTCTGCCCGTCACAACTGGCTGTCTTTATCTTTCCTGGACTTGACAGGCCAACCGAGCAAAATAACTGAGTGCAATTTAGCTTCTATTATCGCTGAGACAGTGGCGAGAACGAACGTGGGCAAGCGCTATGAACTCAAGTCAATCACTTACCGCCCTTCGCCTGATTTATAATTCAAGAAATAAAAAATAAGAGAAGACATGAACAAAGGAGAAGTTCTTTACAGCAGTATCATGTTTTTTTTATTTCTAAAACTTGTGAAAGCTAATGAATGTGAACATTCATGTCAACATCACTCCGTCCAACCGGATCTTCGGATGCCCGGCCACCAATACGAGCGTGCATGCTCTTCAAAACCAAAACTAGAGCTCAGTTTTCGGGGCATACCTAAATGACCGCTACAATAACGCTATATTTGACGGCTCGTGTATAAATGCCACATGTCAGGTGATCACATGTCAGTTTATCAACGGCTGACGCTTTATCCGCCGCATTCAGTGCCGCTGTGTTACTGCAGTGTAATCTGACTTTCTGCTTACCAGTCACAAATTCGGCCCAATAAACAAGTTTCATCCGACCATCGCACCGCCACGGTGGTCTTGTGGCTAAGGTACCCCGCTGCTGACCAGCAGCTTGCGGGATCGAATCGCGGCTGTGGCGGCTGCATTTCTGATGAAGGTGGAAATGCTGTACGCCCGCGTGCTCTGATTTGGGTTCACGTTAAAGAACCCCAGGTGGTCGAAATTGACGGGGCGCTCCACTACGGCGTCTCTCATAATCATGAGGTGCTTTTGGAACGTTAAACGCCACATATCAATCAATCATCTGAACATCCAGCCTGCTACCTTCGTCCACGCCACAACCCCATGACATTATCGTAACAATCAAGCTGCTACTGAACTTGTGACTAAGGCGTGCTCTCTCTGTGTGTCTGTGTGTCTGTGTGTTCGGTAGCTTCCTTTAAAAAGTGTTGATGTCTAAGCTGTCTTTTCAATAACAAATTCATGTAACTGCATCACTATATTTTGCATTAGACTAGCTTAGCCCTAAAAAATGCGTTTCATTTTTAATATGAACAAACAGCCACAAGGAAGCGGAAAAAACAGGAATAATTACTATGTAGTGACTAATTTATGCAACAGAGACAGACACCAGGAAGTTAATATCAAATACACCTGACGCCGAGCTCTCTTTATTAGACACAGCAATTGAACGCAAGAACAGTTGTAGAACTGCTGCCACAGTTTTTTTTCGAAGCGTTCGGCTGGTCATATCTTGAGATGGTTCATCTGTCTGTTGCACTAGTGTTTTTGGGCGAAGGAAAATATTTTGAATGAACGAGCTGTCACAAAGGTGGAAATTCCAGCTTAAGACGACTTTCATAGACGAATTTATTGGCCTTTAAAATTTAAATAAAGCATATTTACCAAGTGCGCAGATTAAAAGTGCCCTGTTACATACAAAAATATTTAAGTGGTTTGGGTGTAGTAAACAGAGCGTTTTTAGTGCACACTAACCCACTATTTGGGAGTTAGCAAAACAAACGATGCGAAAGAGAGTCTAGGGTAAAATTGAATAATTTTACTCTCCTTGTCTAATAAAAAGTGTATAATAATTGCTTTTACTCATACCTCACATCGTGTTCCATCATTGTGAGTCCCTTTTACTAATTGTTTTTTGGAGGAGTAGCATTGGTAATAGCAGCTTGTTCTTGGGTAGTCCTAAAGCGAAACGAAAAATGTCTTAGTAATCTGTTTGTAATGTGATTTTGGATTTGCGATAATATTTTATAAGGTCAAAATATAGGTCACCACTCACATCTAGAAAATATAAGTGAATACTAGCTGTGTACATTCTTTTTTCTATATTGCTGATTTGTCTCAATGTGAAGTATAACAAAAGTAGCATTGCATGTAGCCGACACTCAATGAGTCTTGTACAAAAAACCAGGTGAATTGAAATATTCGTAAATCGCTTCCGCACTTTCTCTTCCGACACTGTGGTAGCATTATAGAAAACACGAAAAAAACACGAGAACGATGGTGCTTTCTTCGTAGGAAGCACTGAATTTATGGAGCAGAAAAATATACGTTACATCAAGCACATTATATTATGCTTGAAACAATAACCTCCAAAATGGTTGTCATCATCATCGGGCTGGCTACGGCCACTGCAGTTGCGTAAATTATAAAATTATTTTAACTGCAGGTTTGTAGGGATGAAAATTGTGGAGAAACATTATTCAGTACACGAGCGTATGATGAATTTTCCTGTTATGCATAAAAGATAGTCGGTGCGAAAACATCACTTATTACTAAATTTGTTTCACAATCAAGGAAACACTCAGTACTAGCTGAGTGGCAGTAAAAAAAACTTTATTTTAAAGCTTAAGTGTATTTTCGAGAACAAATGTTTTAAACAGTGTCCTTAAATTTGTCTTTAAACATGTAAGAAAAAGCGGCTTTGTTGTAAACATGGCACTTTAGATACCTACTCCATAAACAGAGCAATGCTTCATAAGCTTAGGCAAATGTAAATGATGCAAGCCAAACGTAATTCGAATAACTATAATCAAGAAGCAGGGAATGTTAACAACGTGCATGCAAGTTTAGAATTGCTCCTTCGCATGCTAAATTCAATTTGAAAAAAAAAAATTATTCCCCAACAAGAGCATGTATCTTGGGGGAAGCTAAAAGCTTTTATGACAGCTTGAGGGGCCCTGACCACCTGATACATAGAATATTAAAAAACCAAAACCACCCGGCCAGCGCAAAGCGCGCAGCAGTCACTGCGAAAGCGGGGAAACGGCCTTTCAGAGCCTTTTCTAAACACTCTTTGGAAGTATTACAAGCACACTTGTTGGGTACCCAATGCGCCATGAACAATCGCAGTTTATACGTATCAGGCCGGCATTCACTACGCTATATCATTCGTTATTCTTTAGAGAAACGTGGTATCTACTACACACTTGCAACGAATTGTATTCACGTTTTTGTGCTATGGCTGACCACGACGAAGAATTATGCCTGAAGTGGGTGTTCGCCACAGTTATTAGGCGATCAACAAGCGCCAGCGTATTGGCTGGTTGGTTGTACATGGTTGACAGTCACGACGCGCCGAATTGCACACAAATTGTGTGTCCTACCTGTGCTTTCCAGGTGTCTTTTTTTGTGTACCATTCAGCGTGTCGTGAATGTCATCCATGTGATAAAGAACAACCTGTTAGACTGGGCTGGTGCATCGAATGACCTACTCGTTACGCAATTCACACTGAGTGACGTTTGGTTGCTCCTTTGATGTTCCAAAACGCGTTACTCATACTACCGCAATTCGTTTCCCGGCATCAAGCCTGCCTAAGACAAGTTTGCAACAAATTTCGGAGCAGCGGTGTGGCTCTGCGGTGGAATACAGAGCTGACCCGCAGAACACCTAGGGTAAAATCTCTTATTAGTCTTTAATTGTTTTTATTCTTTTTATTTAGCGCGACAGCGGTCACGGACAAGGCGGAGAACTATGGCACCGCACCAGACCCTTGTGATCTCATAACAGCTTTTAATATAAAAAAACATTTGTGCTTCAGCATAGTGAGACAAACGTAGGTACCACCAGCTTAGCGATCCCCTGTTACGTTAACACATGTATGAAATTCTTACTGGGCGTAGTATGTCATCACAGCTTGGCAAATGCTTGTTGGGCTTATTGAGGGGTGAGACCCCAAATGCGTTTGAAAAAGGATAGCGCTGAACGGCGCAGTGGTTCCCTGTGGTAAAAGAAAAAAATAAATATCAACAAAAAGAGCACTTTCAAAGTATACAAGGTGTACAGACATGGGTCATAAAATATTTGCGGAATGCTAGCTCAATACTGCCAACTCACTGAGGGCAATTGATTCATGGCCTTGTCCGACAAAACATTTATAGGATACGTATAGGGTATGTGCACGTCCATTCATTCACGTGGGCGCGAACAGGAAAATAGTATTTTGTGAACAGTTAGAGTCCACGAGCACCTCAATTCGGATACCTAAAGTCGCAGTGTCGCGACGTCTGATTAATTTTTGGCCTGTTCAGTTGTCACATGTGTTGTGGGAGAGCCCCGTTAACCATTGTGATGCGTTGTCCGTTTTATTTTACAACAAAGTAACATTGCCGCCATAGTCACACGAGTCAGATACTTGAGGCATGTAACTGTTACGTCACAATCATATTGTAACGATGTTGAAGGACTCGGGGTATAACAAAACGTATTTATTAAAGGGCGAACCTGTGCCCACAACTCAAAGGGACTATGGTCGTAGCACGTTACAGCAGAACGGCAAGATGTCTTCCTCTTCTACTTCTTCAAGAAGAGTCCCAAGCGCGTGGCACACATCAGCAGGGGCCAGCTGGGTTCTCGTGCTATCATCATCGTCTCTGCGCAACACTAGACGGCGCCCATGTATGTCTGTGTGCGCGTGGTGATGGGCGCGTTATTTGAATGCAGGCACTATGTCGTGGCATAATCCCCCTCCTCACACGCATCGTCCCGATGCGTCGGGCAATGAATAGATTCGTGGTAGGCGTAGGCGTCACTGGTCTTCCGGTGATCTCTCATAGTACGGCTTCATCCGGACTACATGTACAACCTCTGTAGGGTTGCGGCGTTTTGAGCTCCCGTGTATAGCGGATCTGACTTGGTAAGTTACATCGCTTACACGATGGAGTACTTCGTAAGGCCCGAAGTAGTGGCTAAAAAGTTTTTCAGAAAGTCCGCGGCGACGCACTGGGGTCCATATCCATACTTTGTCACCTGGTTGAAAATGCGCTTCGGTACGACGCTGATTGTACCGATAGGAGTCGATACGTTGTTGGCGGCGTATTCTGTATCTCGCCATCTGTCGTGCTTCCTCGGCTCTTTGCAGGAAGTCGTGTAGGCCAGGTGGATTGCTGCTTTCATCATTCAGTGGTAACATGGCATCCAGTGGAGTGGTGACTCTTCGGCCGAATACAAGTTCAAATGGTGTCACTCGCGTTGTTTCTTGAATGGCTGTATTATATGCGAACGTGATGTAGGGCAATATTTCATCCCACAGTTTATGTTCGACGTCGATATACATTGAAAGCATATCAGTCAGAGTTCTGTTCAAGCGCTCCGTTAGGCCATTTGTTTGAGGATGGTATGCTGTAGTTCTTCTCTGGTCTGTGTGGGTCATTCGCATCAGACATTTCATTAGGTCTGCAGTAAAAGCTGGGCCACGATCTGTAATTACCACGCTGGGTGCACCATGTCTGAGGACTATGTTGTTGATGAAGAACTTGGCAACTTCAAGAGATGTTGCAGTGTACAGCGAGTCAGTCTGAGCATAGCGAGTGAGATAGTCTGTGGCTACGACTATCCACTTCTTGTGTGCAGTCGATGTCGGAAACGGGCCTAGGAGATCCATACCAACTTGTTGGAATGGAGCATGCGGTGGTTCTATTGGCTGGAGGAGGCCTGCAGGTTTCACGGATGGAGTTTTGCGTCTTTGACACTCACGGCAAGTTTTCACATAGCGCTGAACTGATGATAACAGTTTTGGCCAGTAGTATTTTAGGTGAATTCTGGCGAATGTACGGCTGACACCCATGTGCCCAGATGTTGGCTCATCATGACATGCGTGCAGAATCTCGTTTCGTAAAGGTGCAGGTACAACGAGTAAAAACTTTTCACCATGAGGCTTGAAGTTCCTCTTGTAAAGGACCCCTTCCCGAAGACAGAACGAAGGGAGCCCTCTGGATAAAGTGCGCGGGACTTTAACATTGAGTCCTTGGAGACGCTGTATAAGCGGCAGCAAATCGGGGTCATTTTGTTGTTGTTCAGCGATTTCTGATGCCTGGACGACGCCTAGAAACGGGAAGTCTTCTTCCTCCGGCTCACTCGTCTGCACTGGTGCGCGTGACAGGCAGTCGGCATCGCTGTGCTTTTTCCCAGATTTGTATACCACAGTAACATCGTACTCTTGTAGCCTAAGGCTCCATCTTGCTAGTCGGCCAGAGGGATCCTTAAGATTCGCCAGCCAACACAGGCAATGGTGGTCACTTACTGCTCGGAATGGTCTACCGTAGAGGTACGGCCGAAATTTACTTATGGCCCAAATGACCGCGAGACACTCTTTTTCGGTTGCAGAGTAATTTGTCTCAGCTTTCGAAAGCTTGCGGCTGGCATACGCTAGCACTTTTTCTTGGCCGTTTTGCCGCTGGACTAGAATGGCTCCGAGGCCGACGTTACTCGCATCAGTGTGAACTTCAGTTTCGGCAGTATCATCGAAGTGGGCGAGGATTGGAGAGGCTTGCAGGCGTGTTCTTAACTCATCAAATGCTTCCTGTTGTTCACTTTCCCACCTAAAGGGCACCTCGTCTTTTGTCAGATTAGTAAGTGGTTCAGCAATGTTCGAAAAATTTTCCACAAATCGCCGATAGTACGCGCATAAACCTAGGAAGCGACGTACTGACTTCTTGTCTTCGGTCATATGGGTATCTGCGCGCTTGAACAGGCGGATCATGTCCTCGATATACATTGCGACACTTTCGTTGGTGAGTTGGTTCCTGGATTCGAGCGCAGCCTGCGCCTTTTCTTTGCGATCCGCGCTGGCATAAGTCGCCAGAGCTTGTCGCCGAAATTCATCCCAGGTCGTAAAGGAGGTTTCATGGTTTTCATACCACGTCTTTGCGAAGACCTCCAAAGCAAAGTATACGCGGCGGAGCTTCTCTCTCTCGTCCCAACCGTTCAAACGTGCCACTCTCTCAAAGAGGTTCAGCCAATCTTCTACGTCTTCATACGAGTCGCCATGAAATACTGGTGGCTGGTGAGGCTGATTTATCACCACTTGGGCTGGTGTTACATGACTTGTTATGGTGGCGGCGTCCATTGACTGAGTTCCCCTTGGCGTAAAGTGGAGTGGGCTGAATTCTGGTGAATCACCTCGAAGACGGCGACTGGTCCTCTGATGCACAGGTGTCGGCTCCGCAGTATCAACTGGCTGGTGGTCGGGGCTACGCTGTCTTGCGTTCGTAGGGCTTTGATTCATTACCCAGCACGTCCACCAGAAATGTAACGATGTTGAAGGACTCGGGGTATAACAAAACGTATTTATTAAAGGGCGAACCTGTGCCCACAACTCAAAGGGACTATGGTCGTAGCACGTTACAGCAGAACGGCAAGATGTCTTCCTCTTCTACTTCTTCAAGAAGAGTCCCAAGAGCGTGGCACACATCAGCAGGGGCCAGCTGGGTTCTCGTGCTATCATCATCGTCTCTGCGCAACACTAGACGGCGCCCATGTATGTCTGTGTGCGCGTGGTGATGGGCGCGTTATTTGAATGCAGGCACTATGTCGTGGCAATATAACTGGCAGCGTCTGTTAGTCACTATGCGATGTACAACGACCAAGTATTGATTGCATGCCATTCAAGGAGTGTCAGCCAAATCTGCACGCTTGTAGATTATTGAGCACAATATGTACACCTCTTTCATCTCTGTCACGACTCCAGTGGTATTTGTTTGCCACTAATGGGAAGTTCAGGGTTACTGTACTTATAGCAGCTTGCTTTTCTCAATTTATTTTAGGGGACACCATTTGGTACTGACGTATCCACCAGGCTGGAATATGCGAAAGAAATGCCCGTGCATTCGCAACACACGAGGAGCCAGCAGATTCACGCTCATTGCTTGTTGTGCATTCTTCACTCGTTTGCGAGTCTAGCACTTAAGGCTTCAAGTCATTTAAATGTGGAGCATTTCATAGTCCCACCTACTCACAAATAAGGCGTCGGTGATGTTGTCAACATCCCCTGTGCATGTCCGCGTCTCGTACGACATGCTGCCGTCTCGTGTCAACTGGCGCTCCCCCTATATGCTTATTCGCCTCACGAAGCCAACGCAGGCAGCGTCTGCTAGTACAAACTGACTACTCGGGCTGCACAACCGTTCACTGGCCACTGGATCGCACTTTAGGAATTCAGTCAATGGCATCTCTACTTGGCTTTCACTTTACTTGATTCTTTGCTCGACTCGTGTAGACTCGATGGAATCGATGGAAGCAACAGTACTTTCAGCAAGTAGTGCCACACAACCCATCATCAGTGTCCCAGCATTCGTTGAAAGCAACGCTTCTTCTTTATTCAATACATAGGAATAAAATAAAGATGAAATAACAAATAGGCATTCTCAAACCATACCCAATTACGCAACATTCGCTCCATACTCCCCCCTCCCCCTTCTACGACCCATTTACTAGATTTCCGCATGAGAGGATGCGGGTTGCTATTAAATGCGATCTATCTATCTATCTATCTATCTATCTATCTATCTATCTATCTATCTATCTATCTATCTATCTATCTATCTATCTATCTATCTATCTATCTATCTATCTATCTATCTATCTATCTATCTATCTATCTATCTATCTATCTATCCTGTCTAGCCGCCTACGACTTTCAGCTCTGCTGGTCGTTTCGATAATGGTACCGATACCAAACTTGGTATGGAATACCATGACTGTATGAAGAACATATATGACTAGTCATAACATAAAAAATGATATGTGTGTCATGAATCTCATAATTAACATTTCATCGTCCTGCAGCTCTTGCGGTGGTTTCGTTCAAACGGCATGTTGCAAAACTGGTATGGTATGACATGATTGCTTAGCGAACACAAGCTGCAGACCCTGACGAGAAAATCATGACATGCGTGTCATGTAACAACATGACTACATGTCACGCTCATGATGCGCTCGCGCGCGTTCCGCTAGCGTCACATATACCTAATTTGGTATTACAGTACGTGAATGAATGGCGAAGGTATGTCATTGGTGAAGACATAATAATAATCATGAGATGCGTGTCAGGTAACATGACTACATGCTACGCTCATGGCACGCTCGCGGTCGTTTCGCTAGCTTCACTTATACCAAATTTGGTATTAAGGGACGTAAATTAATGACTAAGGTATAATGCTGGTGGAAAAATTATAAACATTAGATGCGTGTCATATAGCAACTAGACTACATGCTGCGCTCTTGATGCGCTCGCGGCCGTTTCGCTAGCTTCCCATGTACCAAACTCGGTATTATGCGACGCGAACGGACGATATAGGTAAATTACACATCCAAACATCATAATCACGACATACGTATCATGTAATACCATGGCTACACACCACACTGATGATGCGCTGGCGGCAGTTTCGCTAGCTTCACATATGCCAAATTTCTTATTACGTGACGCCAATGCATGATGAAGGTATGTGACTGGTGCAAACATGATAATCATGAGATGCGTGTCATGTGAGAACATCACTACATGCCCAAGCCAAGGCGCCAATTTTATGGCAGGACCACGGTGGCGTTGACACGCCAGGCACTGGTCCTGCCATATATTCGATGGCGCGCACCGTGCTGCGTTGCTTTGACGCATTCGCGTTTCAGTGCGTCCGGCGTTTCTCCGTCACGAAAAGAGAGAGACGCAGTGTTGTCTGGGTAATGTATCGGCGCGAAAGGTGGCATATCGCATTTTGCGCCGGTTGCCGTCGGGCCTTGCCGACTGACGCTGGTCGCGCCTGGTGTCAGACTATAGAATGCTCGCATTTTGCTAACGTAGCGTCGCTGTGCCCAGCGTGCGCGTGCGTCAACGCTACATGGAAGTACATTAAGTCCTTCATGATTCGCTCGCGGCCGTTTTGCTAGCTCTACATGTACCATATTTGGTGTCACGTGACGTCAATGGATGACGAAATATATGACTGGTACAAACATAATAATCCTGAGACGCGTGTGATGTAAGAACATGGCAACTTACTACGCTCATAGCGTGCTCCCGGCCGTTTTGCTAGCTCCACATATACTAAATTTGGTATCACGTTTTGTGAATAGATCACGAAGGTAAACGACACTTCCAAGAAATTAATCATGACACGGAAGTCATGTACGGCATCAATTACCTCCTCCTGTTAACGTTGGGCTGATTTTAAAGTGACACATGAACATTTCTCATTCGTGCTTCGCATATCATTGATTCCCACTGTACGTGTTATCTGCCATTTTTTACAATTTGATCTGTTTCATGTGTGCTATAACCTGACGAAAAGATAGACTCTCCAACTACTAAGCTTTGGCGGTACAAAAAGAGTGCATATATTTACCTGTAGCAAGTAAACTAACGGTTGGGATCTTGATTTTCAGATTTATGGCAGCTTTTAGGCAGCCAGAGCTAGCCAGAGCGTCAGCTAGCTAGTTTCAGCCAGAACTTGAAGCAGTGGCGTCGTCACGTGTGTGGGCAACCCGAGACAACCCGAAGCCTGAAGCTGCCCGAAGATTGCAAAATCAAACGCTGGGACACTCAGCGTAAACACAAACAAACGCGACCATCGCGGCAGCGAATGAAACGATGCGCCGCGTGTGCGCTGGTTTTTTCATGCGAAGCAGCTCTTTGACGGCCTTGTGTAGTGCTGTCCGCCCTTTTCTCTGTGCCAACGCACCGCACCACGCTCCCCTCGTCACAGGTGTTGGGATGGTGTCAAGTAGGTCACATCTTACCTCGCAGTGCGCGGTGACGTCACAATCTACCTCGCGTGCCACATGCTCGCCACGTGTCACCTTTCTCTGGCTTCACCTTCTACACGACTGACAATGTTCCAACGCTCTTCGAGTGAACCCACTTTCGGCTCGTTTTCATGCAATGGAGAGGACGTCGGAAATCGAAGCTCCTTCGGCCACCGACACATGCGCCGAAGTGATTTGGCCTAAACCAGCCCTCGCCGGCGTTGGGAGGGTTAACAGTACCGATCATGTTCGCGAATTGTGATGCACGCCTGCAACACCGTAGACGTCTGAGACAGGAAAGCCAAACGCAAGCGTTGGCAGTGGGAGACCAACGACACCGATGAGGTACAACTCAAGCACGACGATCGCGTTCGAGAATGGAGGCGGCGCACGGTTAACACCACCGAGACGCGAGCCAAGGAAGCTGAGCGGAAGTGCCGAGAGCGGAAGGTTAACGCCGACGAATCCTTGACGTCGGTTAACGCACACAAACACAGGAAGGAGTGAGCTAGTTGGACCACAATCGTCTTCACTAAGTGCACAGAAAGCAGACACGGCGCCAAAAGTGACTACTCCGAAAAATATACCTCGAAAGTTCTCTCCATGCATGCGAACAAACGCGTATACATAACTTTTGAGGCATTTGCACGACGCAGTTCACCGGCAACAGTTAGCCGCATTGTTCGCGGAAAGAAGCTTCCCGGCAAACATAACTAAAGCGATAACCAGTAGCCTAAAATGCTCGCCGCCACTCGAAATCGCCCTATTTGGCACGGTGGAACAAGCTTTAGAAGCTAATGACAAGCGAAGGTGCCGTCCTTAAGAACCCAAATTGCAATCCGTCGAGTCCTCGCAAAGATGGCGGCAAGCGCGTGTCGTATCTTTTCCGTGACTGCTGGCCGAAGTTATATCCAATACCTTCCAGAGAGCTTCCACGACTCAATTGTCCTGGACGATTCTGGCTACTCTCGGACTTTCCGCGGGAAGCCGGAACCGCCCCACCCAAGAAATTTAAACAGGCATCGACGCGGAACTCGGTGTAGCGTTTACTGGAGTAAAACATCGTTTGAAACGCAAGGACGCAGGAGGCGTGTTGCATTTCGTGTAGTTTTCGTCGCAGATATACGAGCCAAATGTGTGTTTACTCACAAAGAGTCATCAAGCGTTGCGGGCAATTTAGATGGTCAAGCAGGAGATCATTGTGTTTCCAGCAGGCGGAAACACTGACACCTGCCGGTGCTGCGGCTAGCGTGCTGCGGGTGAGAGAGAGAGAGAGTAACGTCAGCGCGCACCAACGAGCGAAGCGTGTTGCGTTTCGTGTAGTTTTCGCCACAGTTGTTGGAGTCGTGCCAAGTAGGTCGCGCCGCAGCTGTGCGCTGCGGCGCGACCTACTTGGCACGACTCCAACAACTGCGGCGAGGGGAACGCATTGTGGCACGTTCGTTTGGACGCATGTAAGTAGGCGTTACATACGTGAGTCAAAGAGCTGCTTCGCCGGAAGTGCGCCACGAAAAAGACGAAGCAACCAAAGAAAAACGAGAGCACTCTGGCTAGCTCTGGCTCCCCGTGCTGAGCCAGAAGTGGAAAATCAAAGAGCCCCAGTGTGAAGTTACTATATTTCAATTTATTAGAACAATGAAAAGTTGAGCCATCTTTCAATTATTCAGCACTTATTTATCGTTCACCCTAATGCGAGTGTTTCCTGCCTCCGTAATCTCCCAATCATCTCTGTTCTCGGAAAATCTTGTATCCGTGAAGCAGGGGCACTTATTAGTATACTTGAAGTGATTCTCGAATTATGAATATTTAGGTTCAGAAGTGCTAATAAAATGGCAAATATATTGCTACACTATACATATATTTGGATGTTACTGTAGTGTACTTGTCGATGTTTTTATTTTCCCTATATGAAAAGCCCATAACGCTGCAGGGTCGTCTCTCAACATGCGCAACCAACACCTTTTAAATAACTTCTTCAGACCAAAAGTATTGAACTTGTGGCTGGTATTGTGTTCATACTGGCGGTAATTATGCCTCCCGCTGTGAATGTGCAGCATGCGTAAAGGAATTTTTATATTGTCCTGATAGGAGTGCCGTCTGCTACACTAGTACCTAGGATATTTCAATGTGATCATGCCGAAATACGTGCCGCAATATTACTCAAGAATCACATATCCGCAATCAATAAAAATTAAAATATTATGCCTTGAAAGAAAAATATGGTAGAATAAAAACACTGGCATTAGCATTTACCGCAATTTTTTTGTAGTTCCTGACAAGGTGTTATTAGAAAAACTGTTTATATTGAGCTGCAAAAGCGACGAAGAGCTTACTGATGTGCGTCATAGAGAATTACTCTGCCAAGTTGGCTGCACGAATGCAAAAAAAAGGTGGGATATTATGCCAGAAAGATTGTCAACAAAGCATAATAAACTCACCTTTGAGCATAAACAAGACAATGAATATGTTACTTGATATCCACATCTTGGATAGTTTGCTTTATAAGAAAAAAACAGTCGCTACTCACTAGTTCAGTGAGACCTAGTGATGCTGTAAACAAAAAAATGACAACAGGGCTTGAAGTGAATTAAAAAGAGCCCGAGTGTAAATGGCGGAGTGTCTGTCCGATTGTTTACTGGGGAAAAGGGGCATGTTATTTTATATAATTATTATTATTTATTTATGCATTAATATACATGTGCATAGTAATTTTTTTTTCATTTGCTTTCAAAAAGAGATACGCTCTAACCCATTTAGGTGTCGACACTCCACCCCACGGCACGTCCAAATAATGTTCGGCTCTTTCCACATCTTGGCCCCCATGTAACAGCGCTCCCACGTGTCTCTGGCTGGCGCATGTGCCATAAAAGACCAGCCGTGTGCGCAGCGTTTGTAACAGCGTTGCTCTCGTGAGAAGTCAGGGTTAGAAGTATTACGTTTTCTTAATAGGGGCGAAGTTCCTAAAGCCATGGATCGTGTGCCTTCTGTATATAGTAGCCACCTCTCGTTTTAATCTTTGGAATGTCCGCTGAATGGCGATACTCGTATATGACGAATATATGATGAAAAGATGTGAGACGGCGGTACTTGGAGTGTTCCCTGAATGGACGGACAGATTGGCGAACATTAGGAAAGATGGACATGCGAACGCACATACATACATACATACATACATACATACATACATACATACATACATACATACATACATACATACATACATACATACATACATACATACATACATACACACATACATATGGACGGACAGACAGGCAGACAAAAAGACGGACGGACGCGGCTAGCAGATGCTTCATGGTTTACTGGTTAAGCCCTTCGAAACATCACCCCACTCATCATAATTCACTCCGTGGATACGCTGTGATTTTTTACGAACATCTCGAAACGTGGGAGACCAAGGTCGCCTCGAATGGCATGAACCAACAACGATGTCTTGTGGCCAGGGCCGAGGAGGCAGCGAAGGCCAGATGGTTCCTTGAATGAGGAGACTTCCCACCTAGGGTAGAAGCGGAACTTGCACCGCTATTGGCCACGAGAGACCTCACGAGAGACCAGCGCTGCGATCGTATTGACGCCACAGATTTGATATAGTATTGTGGAATACGACAGCTTTGCATTTGTTATGCCATTTCCATCGTCCCACAAGGTTAGACCTGTCGTTCTCAGTCACAATTCGACGATGCAACTTAGACACGAGACTGCCACCGGGGCACTGATTCGTAGTTTGCTTGGCTTATTATCAGGTCTTACCACTTCTTTAAGCACTGAGCTTCAAGACAACGGGAAGCACGTACGGTGTCCACAGCAAGAGCGCAGGAAATGTGGCGTTCTAACAGACAACCCAACCCGGCATCCTATGAGTGATGTCATCACGTAGATGGCGCCACAGTATGTTCTCGAGGCGAATACCGTTTCACACAATAAACACAATAAACGTTTATTCCTCTTTCTCTTTAACACCGCGCAGCCAATAGCGGCGTTCACCGAACATGGCGTTTCTCAATCTCAAAAACAAAAGAAACGTGGTATGCCTTGCTAGCTGTAATTGGTAGCGTGCATGTTTTAAACATACAATGAGGTAAAAATCTAGAAAAACGCGCGTTCCCCTCGTCGTGCTACGTTTCTTAAGTTCCCATGTCACAGTGCCCCCACCAAACTGCGGCTGGCGCATGCACTATGGGCTAACATTGTCTGGAGGCACTGTCCGTCGCGGCGGCCAGAGGGTTTCCACACCTAAATCATTTTAGAGGCGAGGCCCCTAAATCCGTGGGTTTGTCCATGCATGTCTGTGACCGGTTTGTAACCACCTAGTTGTATGGCTCACTCTGCAGGTGGCGCTAGTGTGAGTGACACACAGACAGGCGAACGGCTGGACAGAAAGACAGGCGGACAGACAGACGGAAGGACACTAGGATGGACACACGAACGTGCGTATGAACGGACGCATGGGTGGACGCGCGGATGGATGGACGCGTACATAGATGGACAGACGGAAGCAAGAATGAACGAATAGATGGAAGCACGGACGATCAGACTGACAGACGCACGAAAGGACGGACAAAAGTACTGACGAATGAACGGACGAACGCTTCGCCCTACTCACCATCAATCAGCCGGCGGATATGCTGCGATTTTTTTCTTACACAGTGGCTCGAAGTACAGGAGGCCTGTTACACTAATAAGTAAACTTACTATCCAAGTGCACTTTGTTTATCAGCGCCGAGATGGCACTTGCGATTGATAATCTTTAGAGGGCAGTGCACGCTAAAACGTCAGTGACCCAGCGAAGACATCGCCATGTGCTTGCAACACAAAAACGCTTTCTCAGCGCCGGAAATTGCCACGACTGACGTAGCCCAAGTTTAAAGCAGAAAGTAACAGTATTGTCTGGTATAGCCAGCATAGAAAATCACACATTATTTGTCGGCCCTGAAACCTGACGCTCATTCACGATGTCCTAGCTGGACGTCGTTTAGAAGCAATAGGACACAGCACACAATATACTACTTTCAAATGACAATGTTTAGTACAGCCCATCTGAAATATGAATATATACATTGTATCGTTAAACCAATGAACGCTTATAAATGGAGCACGAATCAAACTTGTGGGTATTACTATGCAACTTACTGAGCCTTCATAAAAACAACTATGGGTTGCGAGACAGTTGTGCCTTTCTGAAGCAGCAATTGACCATACAGAAAATAAAAGAGCTGGACTGCCTTCGACTGCCTTAAATAAGCTTTCCTGAATGAAAAGAAAAGGAAAAATTTTCGCCCCGCTAGCATTAGAGTTTTTAACTTTGACCTGAAATAAATGAAAGATAAATGGATGTTTGAAAGAATTTAAAAATGAGGTGGGATCTACGTACCTCTGCACTATAAAGAGATATTTGAAAACAGACACGTATCCGCCAGCAATATCTGAAATGTAGCAGTGTGATTTTATATGTACGCCAACCGTGCTGTTGCTACAATGCTCACGAGCATATTGCGAAAGTCCAATTTATAAATGCCAGAGCACTGTGCGCTCATGTGCTCATTAGCGCATTGCATTGATTCATTTGAGAATACACAGAATAGAACAATCAAGAAGACATTTTCTGACAATGTGGGAAAGGTGAACATGTCCTAAACGCATGTAATGCCACTAATAGTTTTGAAATCACGTCGCTGACAGTGTTCCAGTCCGAGTTCACAAGAGCATTAGGTGGGCACTGAATACAAGCATACATAGTCAACAACTTGCCGTGGAAACGTCACTGATGTATTGATGAGCTGCTCTATCAGAGTCAAGTTATAGTGGATTTTCCCTCATATATATGTTTTCATATTGCACCTAATTTTTTTACGACCTAGATACACTGCTCGTATATAAATTTTTGGGATTTGTTCCTAAAATACGTTTTTTTAATTTATTCTTCAGATGCGGTAAGTCCTAGCAACACAACAGCCACTTAGAAGCGACTATTTTTCACACAAAAGCCATACAGCTTAATCCGACCGAAGCACCTCACATGTTCGCCTAAGATGTTCAAGTAGAAGAACCTAACAGATATTTCAAAAATATATACCAATAGGGATGCATTATAGCACACAGAATCAAGCACAAGAGAGGCTTACAGAAGCTCTGCAGACAAAATAGAAATCTTATGTATTTAAAAAACTAGGATTGATAGAAGATTTTTTTCGGAACTAGTTCACCAATGACTTTGAAATTCAGCTCGGGGTTTAGAGCGCTGACAGAAAAGCTTACATTCTTACCTCAGGTCTGTTTGACGTCATTACTAAAAGGAGACAATGGAAGCATGCAGGGAGATGCAGGTATCATAGGTGTCTTATTTTCTTAACCTAATTTTTTACAGCTGGTCATTGTGTTTTTCTAAGAAGGAGTATAAGAGATTAAAAGGTTCAACAAGCTCAGAGGACTATGTGAGACCACTGTGTAGTGCAGAGCACTGATTCTTTGGCGAAGCTGCTGACGCATTGCGCCTTTGGTGTCAACAGCATACAGATCCTTGAAAATGTACAAAGGAAAAACTGCGGTGTAAGACTGTATGAACCGTTAGTACACTGGTCATGTCGCATAGCAGTAATATGAGGTGTGCTTTTAATTGATTTTTCAGCTAAGACATCAATAACGTGGTGGCATCTCACACAAGTTTTACATTATAAAAGAAGAACAACTTTCGATGTATTAGAGAAAGAGGGTTTTATAGCAAGTAGGTTTTACGAAAGACGTGGCAACCATTACCGAAAGCACAAATATTTGATCGTTGTCGATTAACTGTGCATAATAGGTTTACTTTTCGTTTCGACCCAGCTGTACATTTTACTCAAGAGAGATCATCGAAAATCAGGGGTACATTTAGAAAATGCGAAAGCCACAATACAAAACTGCAATAAATAGCTACATAAAAAAACAACACGTCCCCATAGAAATATTGCAATCACGCATTGGCAGCACGTCAAAATATATATAAAGGAAATCCTTTTCTTCTCCACAAGTGTGTCTACTTGAGCGAAAAACCTACAGTTGAAATTCAAGTACGGGTAAATATTGAAAGATTATACAAGACGGGGGGCTTTATTTAAAAAAAGCACTAACGTCAAATGTACGTATGTCCAGATTTTCGCTCACAAGATCAGCAACGGACGCCTTAGTAGTGACTCATGTCGCAAAATTCTACTTAGATAGCAATATTTATGTTTTTTCTTGATTTGTATCACTGGTAATTAGCAGAAATCAAAACGTCGGGCAAGGCCATCATTTTTTAGCGCTACAGCTACTTCCTCGTGGTCACCTCACTACCGCAGGCCAGCTTACCACTTCTCCAGAGTAAATAATGACATGAGGCCAACCTGCTCAGCTAAAATTTAAAATGCTAAGTCTACACGTTCATTCATGCCTTGTCACCAGCATCGTCATCATTGCGTCAAGCCATCATACACTATTGAAGACGACATTCTGGAACGGGGCATCGCCGTAATACACGACATTCCGAATCGTTTTCGCTTAGACACATTGTAAGGTCTGGCGTCGCAGACCAAGGTGGGTGAGTCTTCTTTGGCGCAAAAGGGCGCGTTTCCCAAAGAGCCAATTCTCAGGAGACGATAATCTCGGTGTAAGGACGCCTGTTCTGGTAAGAAGACCACAGTCGGTCGCCACTTTTGACAACCAGCTACGTGGTCCCCGGCCAGCGAAGTGTGGGGGGCGACGTGAGGACAGTCGGTGTATCGGCACCCATCCATCAGGGTTAGAGTCCACGGGACGGCTGTCACGCTGGACAGCGTAGTCATTTCGCAGTAATGGCAGGGGCCCTGCAGCCGAACGGCGCCACCATTGTATGCGTGCGCACAGTTCGCGAAACGTAGTGTGCAGGTCGGTCCTTTCGTCTCTCTTTTCGACCGAACGGTCGAGTGCTTGAATCGGATCGAGAGGAGAGGACAGCAACAAGTGTTTTGTCTGTTCAATAAACGGACTGAATTGCTTTTCTTGGCCGTTAGGAGAATCGAGAAGGGCAACCGAGGGGTGGAAACCTGGCTCCCGTTTCCTCACGGTCGTTTTGGTTGCAGCAAATAGTGCTCTGCACTAGCGGCTCGGCCGATGCAACATGTGATGGTTCCAACGGGGAAGAGTCTTGTAAATATGTACATACGTTCCTGTACATAAATAAAGTCGAGTTGTTGCAAAGTATCGAAAGGCACTGGTCTCCATTCTTTACGAGCAGCAGCAGCTACGACAAGACAAGACGGGCCCCATGCAACCAACCTTTCACTCCCTTCTATAGCAACAGCCGCTACGCAGCTAAGAGAGCTCTGCTCAAGGGAACAGAGAGAGTGGGAAGAAGGTTTAGTTTTACTCATATAACAAAAGAAGTCATTTCAGAATGGATGTCATACCAAGAAGCCAGGTGAATGTACTCGAGGACTCACGCTTGGGTCATTATTGTCGGTATGTAGCACTTAGCTTTCTTAGGGACTCTTAGAGCATTAGACACTCGGGTATACGCAAAGGGGTCGATGACATATAAGCACCGCGAATTCACCGCAACTGAGAAAATGAATGCGATAGGTTTCTACGAAAAAAATTGTATTCTTGCTGGTTTTCTTGTGTGAAGCCAGATGGCCCCACCTATACGGTTTATTAAGGGGACCTTGAAGTGTACACCTCCGTGCAGGGAGGCGCTCACATGGATGCGCCTTAGGCTTTTCACAATTATTTGTGTGGTAAGCCAGTACTACGCTCGTTCAAAGAAATCCACAGAGGAACTAGTTCACTAATATCGCCACCTACGTATGACTAGTTAGCGATCATATATGTTCATACAGCACTCCACATTGATAGCTTGTGGTCGTGCTAGCGTGCACCATATGTGTAATAAAAGCACACACTGTTCCCTTCTTTTTCTGCGCTACCAACAATATAACTGCTGCCCACAACGGTGACCCGACGAGTGGACTGCCGAAAAAACCTCGATTCATGTTGTTCTCTTTTACCTGTGTGTTATGAGTAGTTTGCGTTTAATAAATTCATGAAATTATTCAAAAAAGCTTATCTCTGTCTATTCTGTCCGCGTTTAAGTAGTGTGCTCTCATTTCAAACATTCAAAGATGCTTGGCAATGATCAGGCGTGATTAGTAACAGCGTATCCATGCATGAGTATCAGTCGGCGTCACGATAAGAACAGTCGGATCGTCAACGTCACCGATACAAGCGCCTCGTCACCCAGGACGGTATGCATCACCCCCAACACGTCACGGTAGTGTCGACGTCGCAGGGAGCCTGAAGCCCCTCTCAACTATTGTACACGCTTTGTCGTACAAATAGAAACTTTGTCCTCCACACCGCCATGGTGGTCTAGTGGCTAAGGTACTCGGCTGCTGACCCACAGATTGCGGGATCGAACCTCGGCTGCGGTGGCTGCATTTGCAATGAAGGCGGAATTGTTGTAGCCCCATGTGCTGAGATTTGGGCGCATGTTAAAGAGCTCCAGAGGGTCAAAATTTCCAGAGGCCTCTACTACGGCATCTCTCGTAATCATATGATGGTTTTGGGACGTTAAACTTCACATTTCTATCACTCAATCAATTAATTAATCAAATAATCAATCAATTATTTAGCAATAAATCAGAAACTTTGTCCTATATATACTCATGCATACAGAGCAATCAAATAAGGTACAAACTCCGAGCTTGAAAGTTTATGTAAGCGCCCCTTGTGTGTAACAAATAGAAGGACTTTGCAAACAATTCGCAAAAGTAAAAAAAGAAAATATTCTTGGTTACTCTTTCATAATAACCACACATGCCTTCACAGAAGTATATTGTTGCGGCTTTGTTTGAAGTAATCATTTTGTTCGTCACAGTTTAAACAGCTTTTGGTTTGGCATGGCAGTCGCCTGTGTGGGCTCACCAATGCTAACACCCACTTCCACGTCTCTTGGGACTATTTAGATTATAATCCGTTTCTTCTTTGGTGGTCCGCAAAGTTGCGACTCACTACAATTATGAGAATAGACGCACAGCTTTTAGTTTCCATCATTGCACTGATTGGCCCCTCAAACGATTGAACTCGTTGTTATTCTAGCTGTTGGGTGTATCACTGCTTTAACGCAGTCGACAGCGCCTCGTTGCACCAAGCACTGCCGGAGTGCATGGCTGACTCCGTGCTCCGCTTCACCTCTCTAGGTCCGTTGGCCATGCAACACTCTCAAGTTTTGTATTCGAACCTCTGAATATGTATACGCCTGTGGTACATTGGCCAGCATTTCCAGCTCCTATGTTTAAAAGAAGTGAGACCAGAGTGTTGATTGCTTGCTCAGCTATATACGTGCCCTTATTGACCTTACTGTTGTAACAGAGTTGATGTTCCTCGGTATACCCCCGCATAAAAATGCAGAAGTGCAGAAATGCAGAAATGCAAGAAGTGCAGGTTTCTTGATAAAAATTAGGCTGT